TTTTTTTTTTTTTTGTTTTTTTTTTTTTTTTTTTTTTTTTTTTTTTTTTATTTTTATTTTTTTTTTTTTTTTTTTTTTTGGCTGCAATAAATGAAAAGATTTGGCTACAGAATGACAGAAGCTCGAAACCTGGTCAAGCGGTTTAGGCTCCTTGGAATTTCAAACCGCGGAGATGCAGTGCCCCTTAATATGTTGAAAATTTAGAGCAAAGTGAGAATGAAGTGAGATGGAAGTGATCCAGAAGTAAAGGTAGTGAATTTTAAACGAGAGAGTACATGAAGATTAAATGATTTCAAAGCTACTAACCAGATTTACCAGATGCTTAAGGAATAAATTTGGCTCCTGAGAGAGGAAATGGCAACGTAAATGTGGCGGTATAGGAGAAAGAGGTCTAGAGATGCTTGTGCTCTGATCGTAGATAGTAAGTATTGCTTCAATTAATCAGTTCAATTCAGTATTCATAAGGATTCCAATGCTCTTTGTGGATTTTCAACCTTTCTAAATCACTCCAGCTCACATTTGGGCGTTCGAAACTAGGATCAAATGCATCTTTGAGAATGCCAATCCCCTCTGGGGTTTGAACGGGAAATGATTCCTTAATGGGATTTTCTCCATCACCATAGACAAATTCCTGTACCTCCTTCTCAGTCCATGTAGCCCTTCCATAATCTTCGGGCATCAGTGAATCTGACATTCCGATCGTGATAATAGGTCTGGAGGCGGCGTTCAAGTCTCTCCACGGCGTGCTCTCGGATACCATTCGCCGAATCTCGTTAATTATGCTATACCAGTCCGCCCAATCATGAAATGCCAACATGCTAAGCTCAATGGATTTGATGGAAGTTGGCAAAGTGCTGAAGAATAAGATGAAATCATCCTGTGAGATCACAAAGCCGGAAAGCTCAAAGTGGCGTAGATTCAGCCATTTCTCCACAGGAACGATGCCGTTCAAAGGAATCAGTGGATAAAGGTCATTGGCATGAATATCCTCATCGAAAGTTGTGTGTAGCCTGAATTCCTCCATTTCTGTTGCACCACTAAGCGCGCTGCGCAAACGACCATTGAGCAAAGATCGCCAGCATGGCTCGAGATCCTGATCATCTTCTCCACCAACGAGAAGTGAGATGTCCAGGCGGCGAAAGCCCGGGTTTTTAAGCACTTTCACAAAGTCGTCATATTCTTCGCAGGGCTCGTCGAATATTGTGCAGTTGATTCCCGTGGGGACAAAGTTGGAGGTCATCACGAGTTCAGAAACGGAATTTGGCTCATTGGCGAGCACACGCATTGCATTGCAGAATCCGCGGTATCTTCCTTTGAGTTCAGGGTTATGGTTCCACGGATACGCAGTAGCAGATTTTTCGTAACTTCTATCGTATAGCCAGCCGTATGGAATGGGGTAATTGAAGCCTTTCGGAAACGCGCGGATCATCGGAGTCGGGTAAAGCGGGTTGAAGATAAACCCGTGGGCCACGGGTGTGAAAGTGACCCTTTTCAGAGCAGGGAACTGTTTCACGCCAAATAAGAATGCTTCGAGATCGCTATCATCGGTAAGCACCTCATTTTGCTGGCTCAACAAATGCTGATAATGTTGCCAGCACTCCTTCAGCGGAGGCTGGGCGATGATCTGCTCCCTGCATGCAACATGCTCGGGCCTATCAATATCGGCTCCTTTCCGACTCCTCAGAACCCGGAGGTTTTCATCACAGTCGTCTTTGAACCATTTGGGACAACCGACCTGATCTTCGTCTTTGTGTTGTCCCATGAGCGTCTCTTTGTAATAGAATTCAGTCCCCGCTCTGGTGTTGTTGGGCTCATCTTCGTCGGAGAGTAATTCGTGCCCCTCGGAAGTTGTATTCATTCGCGGTGGACCCCGTGGCAAGCGTGCTTCATCCCAGATCACTTCGGTCACTAAATGGCGAAACTGCTCGTGTGAGGCAATCTTGCGAAAGACGTCTATGTTAAGTGGATTGGCGGAAAGAAAAACTCGGTTGATGCGAAGAGGGACTGCGTTGGTGATTTTGGTACATGTCAAGCGCAAGGATTTGAGATCGGCATTCGATAGGTAGCCTGCTATTAGTCCCCATAGCTCAAGTGGTAGGGGGATGAGGCTTGCGCCAGTCATGGTATAAGTGTTGTTGACGGAAGTCCGTTGGGGGGTTATAGTGCTGCTTTATACCCGGCAGGCAAAGCCCCGCTATTTTCCGCCGCCCACGATCCGCCCCGCTGCTGCATTGGCCCCCACAGGGGCGGATCGTGGGCGGCGGAAAATTCTTCCATTCCACTTCTATCCCATGAAGTTTTAACACACCAGTGGAATGCAAATAGTTGGTACAGCTCCAAAGAAGGTATGGCAGACTCCGGCAATCTCTGAAAATCAAGACTTACGTGCTTGGTTTTTTTTTCACACATTTTCTCCTCTTGTCTGCTCATATCTCATCATTCCAAAAGCCACATCGACAAAGGAGGTCAAGGTGCTTGAGAGAGCCACAGTGGGCTTCTCTCTTTTCTCCTTCTGTGTTCAACCTACCTTCATCCTCGCAACCCTTCAACGGTTGACTTATCATCGGGGCAATTGGATCATTTCGATGAATCTCACATTACAGGGCTACGCCATTCCCGACAGCCCTTACAATATGAGTTGGACAAGACTTTACCGACGCTGCGATCAAAGATCATCATCGTTCCCGAGGCATTAGGCGCAATCGACTCAAGCTCTTAGTGTGTCATTAGGTCAAAAGCTGAGAGGTTTTGTCGCATCCTTGGGGACTCACGACATTCCAGCTTTAGGGCAAATCGTATCTGGCGCTGATACAGTGATCCGTGGGTACGGTTTTGAGTCAGAAGTAAGTACTGGTAGAAGAGCAGCGTCTGCTGTAGCGGGCTACCGAGCATGCTGGATCCAAGTTACAATTATAGATTCCTGGTGTCCGTTTGAGATATGGTTGCCACTGTTCATGTTGCTGAGTCTTCTAGACCTTCCAGGCGGAATGAATATGCACAACCGCTGTTCTTGCAGCGAATACTGCCGAGACTGTTGATAAGCCAGCGGTTCCAGAAGGTTTCTTTTATCCGTGTTAGCCCAACTTTCCATGCTGTTAGCTGGAGTGGACCTGTAGACTTTTGTGATCTCTTAGGTAGTACCGATGGGCTTTATACTCAATGCCTGTTTCTAAAGTTCCGAGACAGTTTGGTGTAAACAGATCTTTCATGTAAAGAAAGTCTTGGAATCACAGATACCCCTTAGAATATTGTGGGAGCTCCATCCATCGGTTTCCAAAAGACAAGAATAAAAGGAACATTTTCTAAGTTCTAGATGCTTTCTGACTGTCACCGTGTGGGGCTCACAAAAATGTGTGAAACAAAAAAAATTTGCACTGACGGGGAATCGAACCCCGGCCACCTCTTAACCTGTAACCGATTGAACATCGGAAACATGGAAGAGAGGTATTGTACCACTCAACCATCAGTGCTGGTGATTGTTTTTAGGGCCTGTTTTTGGATTCATGATCTACTTGGAAAAGGATCGAGCGCTGTCAACTGTCAACTTCACAGGATCTCAAAGGAAGTTTTACAAGTCATGCCTTTAACATTTGTGACAAGGTGCTTCCAAACCTTGGAAGTTATTGCTTCCTCCAGATCTTCCAGGGCCAGAGCCACAGGATGGTGTTGTATTGACCACAATATTGGAAACATATATACTGGCACCATCTATGAACGTGATGCACTTAAGTCTGTGACCGACCGGGGTATATTCGGACACCAACCTTTGAAAGGTGTAATATTCACGCCCAGGTGAACAGTGAGGAAAGTACAAACATTGAAGAGATTACAGAGTGTTAATATAGCTTCTACTGACCATACACTGGGCGGTTTATGGCATGAGCCCTTCTAAAGTTGGCCCACGGGTATCAACAAGATCACATACCATGGATCACAGGTATACTCAAACATTGGAACACCTTAAATACTCCATACAAAGCCAGGCATTGGTGGCTACGTGTCCTTGATCACGCCGTGGAGGAATTTCACGGGGGTAAATTGTGATGCCCCTTGCCGGGCGCGGGAGCTACTTAACGCGTCAAGCTGCACTTCACGCGTCATGATTTTCACCACTCTCCAACAACCATCCAACATGACTACTTCATGGCCAGCTCATACCCTGGATGACTCCAAGTTTGAAGATGTATTCCAACTGGCTCAGAAATTTGAATTACACTGTGCACAAGTGTACAGCCATGCCGCCACTCACCCGGACAGTGCACCTTCGGCCGACTATGTGATGCAGCTTGTGTCTCAGGCTTATCGCGCGGTCCACAGTCTGCATATGCAGAAGATCGCCTCGGCTTATCTGGACTCAGGCGCTGCCGTTGCAGCGCTCGAAACCAAAGCGAAGGAATATCGCGACGCGTCTTCCGATAACGATACCCACTCAGTCGAGGCCGTCGAGGAAGAGACACCACAAGTCCCCGGCGCTGGACTGGTTGATCTTTTGAATGGTGATTTCGAAGATGATGAGGAGGAGGACTCTGAATGGGAAGTGTCTGATGAAGAAACGGACGACGAATACTACGAATACTGCGAGGGCTCAGACTCGGACTCGAATTCGGATCTAGAAGAACTCGCGAGAACTTCGCGGATTGACCTGTCTCAGCCGATTCAGCACAACGAACTGTCCAATGATTCACAAGCACGAGAGCCCACATATGCGCCCAAAACCCAGATGACCATCGCAAAAGAAGAAACACCACCTCCGGTGTCTATCACACAAGACCAAGCAATGCACGACAGGATCACGGCGGCGCTGCAAAAACTCACACTACCTTCGGAGGAACCTGAAGATGTCCCACTTACCAGAGTGGAAACATACATCGACCCTTCGATGACGACTTGCACCATGTCTCCCACGCATGAAACCCACAGGGAGCCCGAAGACGTTCCACTTACCAGAGTGGAAACATACATCGACCCTTCGATGACGACTTGCGCCATGTCTCCCACACATGAAACCCACAGGGAAGATAGTGCTGTGCAAATCGAGTCGCATCAAGAACCAAAACTTGAACATTTTGCAACTGCGCCCGCTCACAACACGACAAAATCCGATGCCGAATCAGTTGCTCTTCACCGCAAGATATCTATGCGTTCGTCGCCCGGTGGTATCTCCCGGAGGCTGAAGACCGTGTGTTACAAATTCGCTGGAAGAGCCATGGTACCTGTCCGTGGCAAGGTCAATTGATGAGGCTCAGTCACCAACGACAACTAATTCACATCGAGATTCTCATTATTGCGGCTTCAGCTGCATATCATCTTCGCATTCGCCCAGTATCTTTCAGAGGCCGAGGCTGCATGCACATCAAAAATTTGGCACTGACGGTCGGTGCGCTGTTGCACTCACCCTCGGGGTAGACCTAGCCTCGTTTCCCGCATGTGCTTAGACGGTGATTGTCTTCTCCGTATCATCAACTAGCCTGACCACATGCCGAGTCTATGACGCGACCTGGCATTTCAGTCAATCTCAGCGCAGTGCGGAATCAGTCCCGCGGAAGACACCCATCGATGCGACATCAACGTGCGATGCAACGGTCGCTGGGCTTCTGGGTGCACTCTATCGGAAAGGATACCTGAGGATCAAGATTCATGTTGGACACAGGTGGCAAGACATTGGGTGTGTCAACCGGGGGACCCCTGCGTTAATTGGTCTCATTTTTATGCCTCGCAACAATTATCTCGGAGCCGCAGGCCCTCTAGGTCCCAAGTCCTCTTCCTATGTTGTTGAGGCTATGGGGCGAGAGAAGATGCGGACAGAACCGATTGTATTGACTGCGGAGAGAGAGAGAGGAAGAAGAAGAGAGAGAAGTCGGGAGAGGATCTATCTACAAACGGAGGGTTGGGACGAGCTCCCTCAACACAATATGTCACACGTCCACAACCATTCTGAAAAGCCTCGCTCATTGAGTGTGTGATGGAAATGAAAGCCATAACAACTTGCTGTACAGTACTATATCGAATCTACCCTCATCGGTTATACCATCATTGTTCCTGTGGTCGTTTGGAGTAGATTCTGTGTTGACAAGGGGAGTTTCGACATCCTCGAGTCGACACCCCACTATATCAAGGTGACGTGAAATTCATTGCAGAGGACTTACGAGGAAGCTATTATGGTTGCGCACGATATCACCAAACGCGGGACTAGACTTCGCCGCCATGATCAGGCTGACACGACCTTCAAATCTGTTTTAGCCAACGATGCGTGGATTCTTGCCTTGGCGAAGTAGAGCTACGGAGTGCAGTAGCCTTCAGATGTTTGGTTTACAGTCCATTTTTACCCACCAACTGACCCCGAAGTTACGAGGCTAAAATAATTAGAAAAAAAAAAATCAAGTAAATCAAATTTATTCAATCTATCAATTGACTGGTAGTAAATTAAAACAAATGAGAGAACTCACTCAAAGCTCACTCCAATATTCTCCAATGGCGTATTTCATTCAAGCTCAGCCACCTCGGGGTCCACCGCGACGCTTCCGTGCAGGCTCCTCAGCCTCCTCATCATCGCTCTGAGATCTGGATCGTTTGGTACCGGTAGCTGGAGCCGCCGCAGGAGGTGCAGCTGGAGCAGGTCGAGGGGCTAACCCAGGTACAAGTGAGGCAATAGGTGGAAGGGGTCCAGCAGGAGGTGCTGCCGGAAGAATAGGGGCAAGGGTCAGAGTGGCAGCCTTAACAAGATTGTTGAAAGCTGAAGCGGGTCCTTCTGCAGGTGGTGATGGGGCTTTGGCAGGTGTACGTGTACGTGTAGGAAGAGGAGGGAGGGTCCGAGCTGCAACCTCTGCAAGAATGTCTAGTGCCGTGGGAGCGGCGGCAGGAGCAGGTGCGGCAGCGGGGACGGGAGCTGGGGCCGGGGCCGGAGCGGGGGGAGCAACAGGGGGAGCAACAGGGGCAGGGGCAGGAGCAGGGGCAGGAGCAGGGGCAGGAGCAGGGGCAGGAGCAGGGGCAGGAGCAGGGGCGGGAGCGCTAGGCACCTGCCAATCCTCATCAGTAAAACGGTAGTATCTAAGGATATCGAACAAAATCAAAGAAAGGACTGTATCAGACTCAACGTGACGTACGGATCCTGGTAGATCATCCAGCGTAAGGTCAATGCTCGCAGGAATCTCCCCTGAGCAGAACGAAGTACGAATTGTGTCTCCCAAGAATTGCCTGCTGCAAGGTGTGCTGTTAGCAAAGGATCATAGACTTCTCGAATAAGTTCGAGGACGGCCTCGCGATCGGTCACATTCTGCGCATTGTCGGCATCAAGGTTAAGCGGTTCCCAGATCAATCGGAAGTTGTTGGCTGTCCTCGGGATGTTTCTCCTGATATGGAATGTGGTACGAGGCATGTTGAAAGTTTGAAATGTGTTATTTGGTGAATTGAAAAGGTCTTTGACTTGGTAGGCTAAGCTTTTGTGATGTTCTGAGTGTCTTGTGATGTTGTGAATATCGAAAAAGAGGTGGACTCGACTGGCATTTAAGTACTCGAACACTTCTTTCAAGCTTGATCATAGAGGCAGTGTCTATGACAATAGTGCTTTGTGTGAATTTTCTTTGCTTTACTCGACCACAAAGCTTTTTGGACAATACGATACTCAAATAAACGGCAATGAAACGGCCATTCAGGGAACAACGACTTCTTTACAAAGACTCAGACGTTCTTTCTTTGGGCACACATGAACATGAAACTCTCTCTGTCTATACTCCCCATTTGCTACAAATATCATTATAGCTACAACAAAGCTGTATTCAGTCGCATGCAAGTCTGAATAAAACATCAGTCCTTCAAACATAATTGACGACTGCTGTATTTATGATCGATCCATTGAAGCCTTCAAGCGATATTATAATTAGCCAGTCCATGAATCGTGGAGATTAGAAGTAAATTTGACAGCGGATTGGAAATATGCCGGCTCAATTCTAAAGGTATGTGTGAACTGGCATCATGGCTCATGGAATGAGTATAATATCCAGTATTATAGGAGGTATGATATTTATCTCGAGAAAAGAGGCGAAGTCTGGGGTAGAAGCTAGAAAGAAATCAGAAAGACCAGAGCGAATCTAGGAACAGCCGTTATCAAACTTGGAGCTCCGATGCTATTACTTGAATTTTAGAAATTATTCAACTGCATTCTCTACATACCTATGCTCAACAACACCATCATTGATGTTTTGGTCTCGGAGCCTCTAAAATTCATGATCATTGCCCGGCTCTTCTACTCTCTTCCTGATCTGAAAGTTACTGACCACGTTGTATATCAATTGATCTACTGTGCCACCATACAGGGCGAAATACAGCGCATATACAGCGAAAGCCCACTTTGGAAAGCCTTTAATGATTTTGAAAATTATAGAAACACCTGAGTATGTATATTCTCTACCGCTGATCAAGCTATGTTTACTTTCTGTTCATTTGGTTTCTTTTTGGACGCTTTCTCCTTTTTTTTAGATGATACCGATATGAAACACCCAGTGACAGATATCTTGAATATCCTTTTCACTCCGGACCAATCTCCCTGACCATCTGTATAACCATTCAATGCTGGAAGTAGCCTCATATCCAGGTGTAATATTCTAGAAGAATGAGCTTTCCTCATTTTCGGTACTCTCAATATCAAATCGAACTTGGAGAGAACCATCTTTCCAAGTCGCGACTCGGGCGATCTTGAATGTACCTCTAGGAAACACTGAGATTAGAAGAGCAGCAACGGCTTTCCCAAGAGTGGTTCCCATCATACCTTGATATTCAGGAGTACCGTAATCCCAATTGCGTGCCATATCCCCGACAGGGTTCCACTCGGCCCAGGGCACTCGGAGAATAGGGCTATAAAGTCGCTCTACAACAAAGTCAACAACATTCCGATTAACAATGTCAGTGAAATAAATATGGCGGAGTGATTCGATGGGGTAATCCATTTCATACTGACCAACAGCGATCTCGCTCCAGTGGAGTCCATCGTGTCTTGCGATATCTTCAGCAATGATCACCCCCATTGACGTAGAATGCATGTATTCGTTTGGTTCCTCACCATGGGGCACTAGAGGGCCTTCAATTAGAAGCTTTCGGTATTGGTTACCTCCCGTGGGTAGGCTCAAACTCTGTAAATCTGAGCGAAGCATACTAGGCGGATTACAGAAAAAGTTTCTGACGGCGGTCCATCGAAATTCAATATCTCGCTCATTAAGTAGTGTCAAAATTTGAAGAGGACGTCGTCGGAATCTAACTCTGCAACCAGGAGCGTGTGTGTCCTCAACCCATCTTTGCCATTGGGCTCCAATCATTTGGATCTCGCCATGGGGATAGTCAGCTGGATTTGTAGATAAACGCTCACCAATACCGGGCGCATGGCGAGAGCGCGAGTAGCGAGAAGAAACGAGAGAAGAGTGGGAGTGTTGAGACTCCCGGGGCGAGGCGCGTAAGACAACGCTATGCCGAGAGCCCCCAGAGCGGGTAAGATATAGAGGAGACACGTGGACCCCAGTAAAGAGGGTGTCCCTGGGGTCTGAAGCATGGTGAATGGAGGACTCTTGGTGCTCGGTGTGGTGTGAACCGTGCGACTCTCGGTAAGGATCCGTAGGCAGCGAATGCCGGGAGTCTGAAACGTGATGAACGGGAGATTCATGGGAGCTAGCAAACCGAACACGGCTAGGGTCTCGGCGGGTGTCTCTGGGAGCGGATTCGTATACGGGAGGCTCGCGGTGTCTTTCTCTCCGAGAACTGCGGTGTCGAGATGGGCTTCGAGGACGGGCAGGAGTCTGCTGTTGGGATGATCTGCGGCGAGATGGGCTTCGAGGACGAGTAGGAGTCTGCTGTTGAGATGGTCGACGGCGAGATCGACTTCGCTGACGGCTGTAGGTAGGTGCAGGTGGAGAAACAGGTTGTAGCTCTACAGGTCGGTTAGCTTGTGCTTGATCACTGTCATGTCGATTGCGACGATCTACCCGACAGCGCCCAAAACAATTTCCTAAACATGAATGGCGGTGGCGATAATAGCCCATTTCGAACGGTGTACTTTCTAAAAGTTTGGCTTTTCAAAATATGATTGAGTGAGATAGAGCCTTCAACAGTTTTGCAATGCTGCAAGAGAGGATTCGACATCTTTTATATCGCTTTCGACTTGAACACTCGACATGAGGGGACCAGTAAAGGTTCTTTTAAAGAGATGAATGGCCTTGAGAAAAAAACAAGGACAATGAAGTGTTCATCGCTCATTGTTTGTTTACTTAAGTAGCTCTATAAAAACAATCACTAAAGGACAAGAAAAGCCATAAAGAAGCAGACATTACAGTGGCAGACAAAGAATTTGGATTTGATCTGGTCAAAACATCAAAAGAATAGAGGCATATAGCATGGTAAGTTGCTACTGTCGAGACCGAGAGAAGAAAGAAAGAAAGAGAGAGAGAGAGAGAGATGGGGGCGAAGCACAATCTCGACCAGGTAGTCTGACCCAGAGATGGGCTCTTCTCAACACAAAATCTTCAAGGGTGAACAAACCATCTTTATATTGGGTTGCTAAATCAAGAGGACAAGACAGCATTTTAGTGACGAGTGGTCGTTGATTTTTCCGAATACTTAAGTAATTGATCACTTGTATGCCTCGAGTGTTCTTGTCTCGGAATTCCATGGGTATGCCTACTCTTCTTTTGGAAATCATTATGTTAGTAGTCCTAGAACTACAAGAGGACAGCTTTGAAACCAGGAAGTATGTATCTTCAAAAGTACCACAAATATTGCAACGCAAGGAACTCGACCTTTCGAATAATGATTGTGCATGAACTCAGAATCTCGATCAAGAACTGCAGTAGTGGACCTAAAAGTTGTTCAGTCGATGTTCGTTGGTCCCAAAGCTAGGCGAAAACTTTAGAAAAACCAAGATGATCATACTTTCTAGGAAATGCAACGACTCTTTGGGAAATATTCCACCACCAATCTTCTCGATGTGCGGGAGACATTCGGAATGTATTGGACTTGGCGGGAGAGTCCAAAAAATTGAGTGTGAAAAAAAAGAATGCACTGACGGGGAATCGAACCCCGGCCACCTCTTAACCTGTTAACGATTGGATCGTAAACATGGAAGAGAGGTATTGTACCACTCAACCATCAGTGCTGTTATATGTTATTTGGGCATGTTTTTAAATTCATGATGGGATTACGAAAAGGACAAAAACTAACACCCTTTCGCACCTTCAACATGTTTGTCCCAAATCTATCCTCCCCAGGGTTTTTGATCGATAGCTTCTGCTGTATTCCATTATTAAGCTTGTTAATTCAATTTAACATGCTAAATCTGCTTTTTATTACGGAAAATAAACTGTCCAAACAAGTGATGGACAATGAATTATATTTTCTTTGAGGAAGACCCGTAGTCAACTGAGAATTCCCAAAATCTCCACTGATTTATCAGGACTCACCAAAGACCCGGGGAGAGAAAATCTCGATAAGTAAGTACACTCTGTCATAAAAAGCAAAATCTCAAGATTAATGCTAGCCTGGAGTTACCGTGATACTTCAGTATAACATAGAATTTCAGTGCCCAACTTATTCTAAAGTTTCCTGATCATTGACAGATGTGTTAGAATTTGACGGGAACAAATCCAGCATGTTTACACCACTTGCTACAGTGCCACAATAAAAAAGTTCGACAAGAACTTTAGAACCTTGAAATTCTTAGTGAATCTATAGATGACCGTTGAGTCGCCTTCTTTACTATACAATTGAGCTAATCCGTCTTTCACAACTCATCCCTGCGCCCCAAAAAATTTCCCACTGCACTGGGGAGGGGTAAATCCCTCAAATGACTAACTTGGAGATCTTTCGGTGGGCATGTTGCAAATCGACCTACCTTGTATAAGCAGAGCCTTCAGTAATATATAGTAGGCGCATGGAGTTTAATTAATCGGCGCTTCCGACGAAGTAGTGTTTGACGCCTGAGCTAGAGATGGGTCGCATAGTTACATGTACCCAGAGAATTAGCCATAATCAGTAATATTGGAGGCTCGCCTGTTGACATGGATAATAAGACAAGACGCCAACTGGAACCACCAACTTGATTATCAACTCGGTATCCCTGGGATCAAACATATTAATCACATTGAGCCATCTATTCACATATGGAGCTTTGCGAAAAGCTGGTGGTTCAACATAAAAAATATGCAGTATCAATCTACCTTATTGGCCCCTGACGACTCCAGCGAACATAACTGCACGTCTGTCACATCACAGCAAGCTTGCGGATTCATGTCTCACTACGGAGATCTCGGATTTGTTGTAACACCACGGAGGACTCGGAATCGCCATTGGAATGAATCTCAGCTACAACCTTCAATATTGGAACGAATGGGGCTTATTTCATTGGATTGCACGGAGTAGATTGCGGTACTTGGATCAACAAGTTTAATATCGGTCAAAATGGGAGCAAACAATAGCTATATAAGACCCAGGCTGTCCCATCTCATGCACACACCACACACCCAAGACCTTCACGTTCATCAGATCCTCGCGCATAGCAAAAATGCTCATTTACGTCGGCAAGTTCAGCTATTCTCCATACGCCTCTAACGAGATCATCTCGGTCACCTTCCGAGACAATCTTCAAGTTGGAGACAGGGTATCTGTCATTCTGCAATGGACGAAGGACGCCTCCGGTAAAGAGAAAGCAAACTCAAGTGCCCATGGCACTGTAAACAAGGTTTCTCTCAATGGCTCCGGAGACAGAGATATCGAAATGTTCTTCGACGAGAAGGAAGATACATACTACTGGTATTTAATATTTGTGTTTATAAAAACTTGACGTTTGCTAATTCAGTTTTCTAGGTACAAGGGAAAAGTGTCTGGTGACAGGCTTACACTGGTTATGTTGAACAAATCTGGCGAAGAGGTTGCAAAGAACATTCAGCTGCAGCTCACTTTCATTTAAAAAGAAATAGCATATTTGGGGTGCTCTTTCAGTTGGGTTGCTTTGGTGTCACTCAAAAACACGATTAAAACTCCTGCCTACAAGTTTAGCTAGCTTCTCTGACTTCAGTACTAGTTATGATATAGTACAGGGCACTGAAAGAAAACATTCAATGAGCTTGTCAGTATAAGTTTACTACGCATATCGCAAGATTCCAAAAACACCAACCCCGAAAGAAAATAAAAACATGATTCAGGTCAAACGGATGTTTCGATCGAAAGAAAAAGTGAGCCAAGGAAAAGGGGAAAAGAAAAAAAAAGAAATGCACTGACGGGGAATCGAACCCCGGCCACCTCTTAACTTGTAACCGAAATTTATCGGAAACATGGAAGAGAGGTATTGTACCACTCAACCATCAGTGCTAATTGATGAATAATCAGTGACTATTGTGAAATACCACTCTACTCAATTTGTCCTAAAGTGGCATGTTATAGAGTTTATGCTTTCTCGAATCTCGATGTAATTAGAGAGAAATCGTCATTTATACAAGATAAGTAAAGTGAAAAACCGATATGTCAACTTTCAATGCTGCATAGCTCATCTGTGGACGGCAGATAACATGTTGATGATCTTCGACTCAAATGCTTCTGTTTTCCAATTCAGTGGCGCTAAGTGGCGATTGAACAGACCAACCTTCAAAAGCTTGGTTCAGGCATTGTCTGTAACATTTTTGCTTTCTAGGGCTGTGGTATCCTCATGTTCTTCGGAGTGCCATCTTCCTATAGTGAAATTCCAAAACTGCTCAACGCCTGAAGGTAGGCTTTCTACAAGCCACAGGTTGCTATACCGGGTCTTATCACCAACCCGATAATAATTAGACAATAGTATGTATAAGTAGGTGTTTATCATGATTCGCTAGCCAAGGCCTACAACACTCGCCAATAATGAGAATATGAAGTTGAGTCTGAGCCCTGGCTAGATTCTTGATCGAAGACCCCTGTTGGGGTTTAGACGACCGTAGACGTGTCCAAGCAAATTCTACTATGACCGGATAGAGCTATGATTGACCACCAACCTGCAGCAAAATATACTTTTTTGATGAGCAGTTGTCACTTTGCGACCAAAAGGACATTATTGGCAGATCCCCCAGGGTCGGATGCTGGGTTCGGGTAGTCACCCCGGGTACTTTCTACGTAGGCCAATCCGGTTTAAGCTTTCACAAACATGCAGCTCTCCACAGCGTTGACGAATCAAATGGGAATTTTAACTGATTGTACAGGATCACCATGTCTCCTGGATTCTGACCCAAACCCTGGCTATAGACAATTAAATGGACTGAACTCTGAGTTCCCCGGATTTCCCCGCAATATGGCAATGCTCTACGCAGAGCTTCCGATGCAGCTTCCGATGTACTTGACTACCACTATGAATCTGCCGACATAGCTACCGATGGATTCTTGAAAGCTGGGCGAACTACTCAACGATGTCAATCTCGAGTAAGTACGTGTATAAAGGCATGCTCCTGATCACCGCAAATCATGGATTCTTAACTAAAGCTTTTCTTCTGATCCAATTGCACTCCAATTCACTTCGAAATCATGGCGGCCAATCAAATGGACGTCGACGACAACCTCGTCAACACCAAGACCCAACATTTTGAAAATGGAGGTATGCCGGGGTTGACGCAGATTCCAACCTCTGTGACCCTGTCTGCGGAGCAATTCGAGAGGCTCTATCTGAACCCTATGATGCACCGCCAGTCAGCTCTCACCAAGAACCTGGGTAACCCGACTCCACTGTGCGTAGCTACGAGATGTTTCACCCCGTTACTAGAGAAAATCTTGCTTACCCTTTCGATGATAGTGGACTGGGAGCATTTGTGTTGACCACCACCCCCCTTTCATGCTGCTTGATGGCTTGGAGGGGCGCAGGAGGAGGTGGTGCTGCATTCACGTAAGATGAATACGAAGCCCGAGCCTTGGGGAATTCTTGAACTGACCGAGAGCAGAGGAGTCTTGATTCTTTTTGGTGGACTGCTCCTGGTTCTCTCTAGTATTCTTGAGTTTGTCATTGGAAACACCTTCTCGTCCGTTGTATTTGGACACCTTGGTATGTTCCATCCGTTTGCATATAAGCGCCTTCTCGAGATTCTCATTGATGTGTCACAGGTGCGTTCTGCCTGGCTTTCGGTGCTAGCATGACTCCGAGTTTCAATTCTGCCGGTGAGTTCTAGCAGGTCCCCATATTTATTTTGAATCTTTGCTGATATCTTATAGCTCCATACTCTCCATCAACGACGGATACTTTAGCGGGCCTTCACAGCCCCGGATTCGTGAACACATTTGGTAAGTGTATTCCCGAAAAATTTCAAGTTTTAAGACTCATCTTAGTCACTAGCATTTTTCTTTCTGTTCATGGCCCTGTTGATGCTCATTTACGCTTTGTGCGCAACTCGTACAAACGCGGTTTACGTTGCTATCTTCACATCTCTGATTCTAGTCTTCTCCCTTCTGGCTGCTGCATACTGGAGACTAGGATTGGAAGATGCCGTGAACGGGAATCGTTTGACAGTGGTAGGTCTCTCGAAGTCTAATTTTTGCTGCCAGAAACTTTTCTAATACTGTGATCTAGGGCGGTGGTGCTGCTTTGTTTTTCGCTAGTATGCTTGGCTTTTACTTGTTGACAGCACAACTGCTTGATTCTGTTGGGTTCCCTGTTTGTCTACCTGTTGGCGATTTGAGCAGGTTTTGGGGTCAAGCCAAGAAGTGAGTACTCACTTGGGATTTCGTACTATAAAGGACCTTATCATTTATGCTAACCTTCTATAGTACCCGATCGCAAGACGTGGAGTCGGCTAACTATGGCAACGGTGTTTAAATTGTCAGTTCCCACAACTTTAGGCGTTTCGGATTGTATTCATTGAAGCAATCTTATCAGAGTAAAGTGTTGGTGACTGTGGAAATTCGCTTTTGAAGGACAAGGCGGGTTGTTGGTCTGTTTTGGATGGTACTACGATCAACTTGTTTCGGAAAATACTCAGTTTCTTCGCTTCCATAATATTGAACCAAAATATTATGTTATTTTGTTGTTTTGATATCTCTTGGACATAAACAAAGATAAGAAAACTAAAACGGAAGTGATAAATACGACTGACCAGGAGAGAGAGAGGAAGTGTAGTTAAGGGTGATAATGCGAGGTCATTAGCCCTTTACATGTCGTCATACCATGCGTATAGTCCAATCTCCTTAAAATCCATGCTCAAACCTCTACCACTCTCCATTCTGACCCATTTCAACCCTCAACTCGACCCATTGGACCCAATCGACACCCGTTTTCCACCCTCCACAATACCGCACCACCCCGAACCACCCCGAATACCAACCGAAAATCAACTTACACGCGACCATTGATTTGAAATTCTTACCTTACGAAAGTTTAACGACCCCAATCTTGCCCGAATTCGCAACAAAATAGGCAATAAAGTCTCCTATGAGCAAGTCCGGGAACTACGATGGGAAACGTTCAGAGTGATTCTGGGTCTGTGTCTCAGGTCTTGGAGGGAAGCGGTCGCCCCATGGGCCCAGCCCCAGACTTCGTTAGGTTGCTCATCATTTCTAATGGAGCTGTGTAATTTGCTAGAGCAAGAGATAAGCTCGATGTGACGGGCCAATTATTTCGGGGCTGATTTTTGGGGCTGAACCCCATACATAGATCTACTCCACATTGTCCCCGGAACCCGATCACGGCAGACAGCGACCGCGGAATGACGCGGAATGACGCGGAATCACGCGGAATCACATGCTCATGTCCAAGGTCGCTGCACGGATCAGATCCAGATCAAAGTTCCATACTATAATTTCCTTCATGTACAATATCTCAAGTGCCTCTAGGGCTTCCGTGGAAAATTAATTATTACCCAGCAACCAATGTTGGAATAGCTGGATGAATCAGACTGCTATCCTAGACACCTAAGGTATCCTCACGGGGTGCTTATTAGAGTTGAAAGATGAGATACAGTGACAACCCAGTATGTAGGCATGGATAGTACTATGATGATTTTATTTATCTTTAATCTGATAACCAAAAATCTTGAGTGGATGTTTTACATGTAACTTATAAATTAGATTGCGCCGCCGACAGATCACTTTCTCTAACATCGAAACCAGAATACAATTATCCCCAGCAAAATTGCTATTTCCATAGAAGAACAGCCTTCAGAGCCTTTCCAGATTTGATATCCTTAAACGCGGTCTCGTAATCCTCGACTGGGTAAAACTTCACAATCTTGTCAAGCGGGAATTCACCTTTGCCATGTTGTTCAATGAGGTAGGGTATCATCTAGACATATTAGTTATGGTTGACTTGGAACATTATAATGTTGCACATACCTGTTGAGGGTCACTATCGCCCTCGCAGCACCCAATGTACTGGCGTCCCATGACCAGGTGAGCAAACACATCCACTCCTGCGCGTTTTCCAGGCGCTGGAGCGCCGACGGTTGCTCCCTTTCCGCGCGTTCCAAGACAGTCCAAAGCCTTCTCAACCACACTGGGTATTCCCGCACAGTCAACAGAGTAGTTGACCCCATTTGATCCAGAGATCTTTTGAATCTGTGCAACAACATCTTCATCTGATCCAATGACGCCATGGGTAGCTCCAAGTTGCTTTGCTAGCTCCAATCGCTCAGTTTGCAGATCGATAGCGATGATTATGCTGGCGCCTCTCATCTTCGCCGCCATGACTGCACTCATGCCAACTGACCCAACACCGAAGATGGCAACTGATTTGCCAGGTTGTACGTCCAGAGTGTTCAATATGGCTCCAGCACCTGTCTGGACACCACACCCGAGTGGAGAGAAGACACCCAACGGCGTGTCTGATGGAACCTTGACAACGGAATTACCCATAACAATGGTATGCCGGGCAAACGAGCTCTGGCCAAAGAAGCTTCCATGTAGCCTAGCTCCATCGGCCGTTGAAAGTGAGAGACTTCCATCCATTCGCTTCTGACCAAAGTTGCGCTGGGCCCATTCCTGGCAATAGGCTGGATGCTTGGAATCGCATTGTACACAGGAGCCACAGGAATCGAAGCTCAGCAAGACCCTGTCTTGCTTCTGGAGGTGCTTGATATCTCTTCCCACCTCTAAAACCACACCGCCGCCTATCGAGAAGTCAGCAGTCAGATCATGGATTCATTGGATAATGTGATGTGCTTTCTTACCTTCATGTCCAAACACGCTGGGGAATACTGCTGGGAGAGTTCCATTCATGCACGCAAAGTCTGTATGGCAGACTCCCGTAGCATGGATTTCCACCAGAACTTCATCTGGGCGTAGCGGATCGAGGACAATATTTTCCAACTCTACTGAGGAGTTGACCTGTCTCGAGACAAGAGCCTGTGTTGTAATGGACATAACGTATGATGAAATGGGAAAGTGGATATATATGGAAATAGAAATTTGATTGATTTGTTTGGCTCAGAAGTGAGGACCAGGTGAGAATTTATACCTAGCCTACAGGATTCGATTACATCCGACTACCATCCGACCCAAGTAAACGTGGGCTTTCCGATTATTCCAAGATTTCCGATAGTCACCTCGCATATCCATCCCCAGACTCCTTTCCCCCGAGTTTCTGATCCCGGGGTTTTGAGGAAGAGTTCCCGAAAGTACCGACATTCGAGATGGAAATTGCCGCGATCTGAGCTCGTGGCGCCGAATTCCCCAGTTAAAGTTTTGATCCCCCGCGCTTGAACCCCGCCTGACCCCGGATCATTCTCGGACCAATTTGGATCGCCTCCCACTCTAACAGAACGACATCATGGACCACTCATCATGTGGAGCTAAATTGCCTGGTCGAAGTGGAGTTGTGGGGTACCCCATTATTGGACCTTTTTTTGCGGCACAGCCATTGAAGATCTCAATAATTATCTTACAAAGTGAACCATTCGGCAAGCTGTTCGGTAGAGTCGAATAAAGTCAGATTTCTCCGGTATAATTTGACTATAAAGCAAACACCAACACCCTAGGTACCACAGTTATACTTGTTTTATCCCCGAGCATTTTTTTTTTCTTATCTCACCCAGAACGCGTCGCCTTCGAATATGTCTACATCGACCAGCTTCGAGGCCAGAGCCCCTGGCGCTACAGTTCCTCTTATCATTGGAAACAAAGATGTCACAACACCAAATACCTTCGATGTGAATAATCCAGGCAAAGGCTACGTTGAGCACATATGCAGCACTGCCGATACCGAGCATGCTACGCTCGCCGTGGAATCGGCCGAAAAAGCCTTCCCAGAGTGGTCTCAAACCAAACCAGCTACTCGCAGGGACATCTTGTTGAAGACAGCCGATATTTTCCTTGCTAGAAAAGATGAATTCGTTGGATATATGTGCGAAGAGACTGGTTCCCAACCAGACTTTGCAGAATTTATCTTGATGCTTGGTGTGAACCTTCTGAAAGATGTTGCAGGCAAGGTGTCAGGAATCGAAGCTGCTTCTCCTGCCCTAGTCCAAGAGGGCACGAGCGCGCTTGTCTACAAGCAACCTTATGGCGTTGTCCTAGGTATTGCTCCCTGGTATGTGCAGAAAGCCCCCTGGGGAAGATCGCTTGATTAACCATCAGCAGGAATGCGCCCTATATTTTGGGCACACGAGCCGTGGCGCTTCCCATCGCGGCCGGAAATAGTACAGTTCTCAAAGGCTCCGAACTCTCACCGAAATGTTTCTGGGCGATTGGAGATGCATTCAGACAAGCTGGACTTCCCGATGGTTGCCTAAACGTCATTTATTCCCGACCTGCAGATGCCCCCGAGGTGACTCAAACTCTGATAGCTCACCCTGCGGTCAAAAAGTTGAGCTTCACCGGAAGCACACTTATCGGGCGTAAGGTTGCACTCCTTGCGGCGCAATATATCAAGCCTGTCATTCTGGAGCTTGGCGGAAAAGCCCCCACGGTCGTTCTCGAGGATGCCGATATAGAGAAGGCAGCCCTTGGCGCAACACTTGGCTCTTTCATCCACGTAAGTACACCTGCCACTCATAAACAAACCTAGCTGACAAGAAAAAGACTGGACAAGTCTGCATGTGTACCGAGCGAATTATCGTGCACAGGAGCATTGCCGACAAGTTCCGCGAAGCCTTGAAAGCCACAGTCAATAATGTTCTCGGCGGTCCAAGCACACAGCTCGTTGCGGTCAACCCAGCGGCCATCACCAAGAATAAAGACTTAGTTCGGGATGCTATCTCCAAGGGCGGTAAAGTCTTGATCGGAGATCTCGATACCGAAGCAACTTCCAATACCCGCATGGGGCCAGTCGTTGTTGAGAATGTCACCGAAGATATGGACATCTACAAAACCGAGTCGTTCGGTCCGACCGCGTCACTTTTCGTGGTTGAAAGTGACGATGAAGCGATTAAGCTTGCCAATGATACTGAGTACGGCCTCAGTGCTTCTGTATACACTGAAAGCCTAGCCAGAGGGCTGAAAGTTGCCAAACAGATAGACTCCGGGTATGTTCCCTCCTTGTGGTTTTTATGGATGTCTTCTAACGAGATTAACAGAGCTGTGCATATCAACTCAATGACTGTTCACGATGAAGCAGCCCTTCCTCATGGTGGAGTCAAGAGTAGCGGGTATGGTCGCTTTGGAACCAATATGTTGGATGAGTTCTTGTGGACCAAGTCTGTGACCTGGGTAGACTAGACTCATTTAAAGATAATAGATTTATTTCAATGATAGCCTTCTTTTTCTCTTCCATTTTTGCTAATGACCTTGCCTCGCTTCATGACATTATACTAGAGCCAGATTGGTTGATTCCACAGTTGATTCATCGACAGAAGGGGAGGAAGTGAGGAATGGAGAATAGCAAAATGCAAGAAGCGGTCCTATCTGGCGAAGAGATCAAAGCTAGAGGAAGGAAGAAGAGTGAACCAATTAAATTGCGATCTTAACATGCCTCATCGGTCCTATCTGCACCAATCATGTGTCTAGTTTCTCGTGTATTTACATGAGCCCAGCTCAGGCGCGGAATGTGCAATCACGCGGACGCTCATCCCTGCAGTGCAGGGGCAGAGCAGCCAGGTTGTATGGTGCCTGATTACTGCCTTTGTGCCCGAGTTCTGACGAGCAGAAAACAGAGATACCTGATCACACCTGCCACAATAATTAATGTACCTTTTTTCTAAGCGATAACATTTGAAACAATGAATGTACCAAGCATGGATCTTGGTTCTGGGAGCCTCATCACTGGACTATGCGAGTCACTTCTAAAGTTGGGGTTCTTGAACAATGAATTTATTTACCCGAGCGATAGGTATGATAGTAATAAACTTCTGGAAGGAAAAAAACAGAAACATACAACAGTGAGGATTCGCTGGTGGTCACCCACCCAACTACTAACTCACCGGCGTGTGGCTTAAGTACGGCTGAGCGGACGGGAAGCCCTGTTCTCCACACCCTGTGGTCGTATGTGCTTGATTACCCTTTGGAAGGTAATATATTCAGCACACAGCGGAGAGGCTGTACGAGTATTAAGGTGCCCTCAAACATCTCATGTGAAGTTGTCGAGGAACGGCCGGTAGTCGATGATCATGAGGCGGCGAATATGTGGTGTTGGCGCAAGTGGGCCTGGACGCGGAGTTTTGACTTCATGATTGTATAGTTCTACTCGTCACATCGTTGTCGAGAGAACATCCGTGGTGTGGGTTGCAGCCTGGAATGGGGTTTGATTCTTTGATTCTTCGCTGTAAAGTCTGCAGACTTGGACTTAACCGTTTATACTATCCATTGCCCCCTTTGCGAAATCACGATCATTGTGCGAAATGGAATACATACGCTCAGTCTTGAGAAAATACAGGTAGACAAAATTACTATTGCAAATTTTTCATAGCTCTCTTATCTCTAGGAATTTCCTACTAGTAGTGGTGTTGCTTTAGGATTTCTGCAATTCTGTGGTGCAAATGGTATCTAATAATACTTTTCATCCTTCACTAAATCAATAACTGATTCTTCAAATCCAAATGCCGCGTGCTTGAATGGCTGAGCTGTCTCAATCTCACCGAATCGCAACCTGACTTTCTCAAGCTCATCGGGTAAATGGTCAGAGCCCAAGCAATATCCAGTTGTTAAGACATCCAATTCCTGATTCCGTGTTGTTCGCAGGAAATTGGAAAAAGACGTCTTCCCAGGGACACCATTGCTGCACAGAGCAAAAAGTCCAATAGTAATGCACACAAAAGTGGCCACAAGAGCAGTTGCATAAGCAGCAAAGAGATTTGTCCAATCATAACTGTAGAAGTTCTTGGGTGAGTTGACAAAGACGGGCACACTAGTGTTGGCTGCATTCAGGCTGAGCAGGCTGTAGGTAAAGTTCCGTGAGAGGTCTTCCAGGGCTCGGCCCAATGTCTTGTTGCGACAAGTCGGACTGGCTATGGATTTGACCTGATAGGGATCGCTATTCAAAAGCTCTGGACATTCGAAGAGACCAGACTGCATCAGTTGGGTTGCGTTGCCCATGAGCGCTCCCGTGCCAGCTATTACCAGAGTACCCTTGATGAGAGACGAGAAGAGCAAATGGGTTATATAATAACCCCCAAGGCTGTCTGTTTCGACCGATAATGCTGAGTATATTGCAACGTTTGGACTCCAATCACAAGGGGCTACCAGATCGGTCGATACAGGGAAGAGGGTCTGAATGGTATCGTTCAACGATACGTCCAGCACATAGGAAGTGTTCCAGAGCTTGCAGACAAGGGATGTTCCGGTTGGCTTTTTCGTGTAATCATCGGAGTACTGCCATGCAGCGATCAGAAGCGTGTTGTTCAACAACCAAGGCGCACTGCCTGAGTATATCGTTCGATTGTAACTTGCGTTCCTTGAGTTAATTGCATATCTATTCCACACATCCTGAAAGGAGGCATAGTCATTAAGATTTTCATCAGTATAGGTGATACCCTTCGTGTCTGCAATCACTTCACTCAGATCCTGGCATTTATAGGAAGGTCCCCAGAATTGAAGAGTATAGGATGAGTTAGGCAGTGGTGGCGTAAGGGGAATAATAGCAGCTGATGAGTAGGTTGCCGTGAATGAACGGTTGATGAGATAGGAAGGACCAGAGATAATGCCCGCCCCTCCATAGAACGCCCAGTTGTTCCAGAAATCTCTGGTAAAGTCCACAGTGGGAACATTCATCTGAGTGGTGGTTGACGTTGTCTTCAATTGTACCGATAGAGTAGCCGGCGTAATGAGTGCAGTTAATGGAATCAACCTGGATACAGGGTTAATCATCACATACTTTTTAATCGACTCCAGTAAACAAATACTGCTTACCAGGAGACAATTGCCAACAGAGTCAGTGTTTTCGCACATATCCACATATCAGGGACTAAAAAAGCCAGTGGATCGCTCAAAACACTGAAAATGGCATCGATGCCGCGAATATTCACACTTTTCTTGCGGAGTGTAGCCCACATCTGTTGCACCGCCGCAATTCCGATGGCAGCTGCAAGTAGTGTTTTGACCAGGAATGCAAACCCAGTTCCGATCCGAATTGTCCAGGTTTGTTGCGTAGCCGATTCAACCAGCGTATTGTCGTAGCTCTTGTAGTATATATGATGGCCTACCGATAATGCCAGGCCACATAAAAAGAGACCGACCATCAGGGTCGGACTCCGCCATCCCAATCCCCATACCGCAGGGGAATGATCATCCTCGGGGGTCCGCGCAAACTCGGAAGTGGCTCTTCTATGGTGGGGTGATGTTGATCGCTCAGTCAAAATGTCTGGATGAGGCTGGTCTGTCAATGAAATAGTTCGCATAGAGGTGTATTTGACACCATGATTGATCGACTGAGGCATGATGGTATCGGCATAGACTTCCTCCCCTTCTCTCTTTTTCTCTTCTTCCTAGCTTAGATCTCCGTTGTCAATTGGACCGCATCCTTGCGCTTCGCCAGCCTGTCAGTATTTGCAGTGTATTGATTCTGCGATTGTATATAAATACGCTGTTATCGTGTCGATATGTAAGCTCCGTTAGTGGTCCGGCCCCTCCTCGCAAACTTCATCCACGGACAATCCAACTTGATCCAATGCTTTCAACTTGGAACCTGAACTTGAAAAAAATATTAGAATCTCTGAAAGTGATAGACCGTGAGTGTTTTATGGCATGAATCCAACTCCTGTTCTTTATAAGGGTAAGAACTTACAAACCATAGTTTAAACACGCCTGTTCTCTCTATTGAGATAGCGCCCAATGTCACTCATTCCATCGATGACCCCTTGGGTTTTACTGTGACAGTCCACCGAGAGGAAGATGGCATCAACAAGCCATGCATTTTCCGCTGGGATATTGACCATGACGCTTGGGGCCCTTCGGGCTTTTTACTCTTCCAGCATACATCAGACGGCCTGAGAAAGATCGAAGGGAACCGCGACCCCCCACCTCCCGAGACTTTGGAGTATACACAGAATGATGTGTGCTTTGCGGAGCTGCTTCCTGGTCAGTGTCTTAGAAGAAACATAGGGAATCCCATCCCCTTCCGTGACCAGCTGGTCGCAGGTGAGAAATACGAGCTTCTCTGGCCTGGTGCTGAATATGCTCTATGGGACTGGGGCACCCTCCGTGAACATGTAAGCCACAAAGTTGGCGTGGATACAGGTGGTCCCCGCGTTTTTTTTCCCGGAGGAGCCACCTCCTCCATCACTGTCAAACAGGAGGCGAATGTCTGGAAGCCCACTGCTCCGTCTCCTATCGGGGAATTTTCCCGACCGTGAGTTTTCTAAAATCCAGATCTCCTCTGTTGACATTGAATGACTCATTGACTATTCTACAGCCCGGGTACCCCTTGTCTGAGTGTGACTCTAGAAGGCCCTTCTGAGATGGTTTTGGGGAAGAGCATTCCAGTCACCATGAAGGTGACCTACAATGGCCTAGCCAACGAGCGTGGCGAGGCAGTCCTTGCAGGGTCCAAACCGCTCATTATTCAAAGCCTTTCATTTTCATTTTCGAGTTTCAATTTCCACCGCCGTCGCCACGATTACGACCAGGGGGATTCTGACGATGATGATCCAGAGTGGGAGGTATACGTTGACGATGATTGGAACAACCTCTACTACCTGCCGGATGGATCCGATATTGAGGCGAATGTTACTGACGAGGAGTTCTGGTGCCTCCAACCAGGAGAGAGCCGCACGGACCAGTTTACGTGTAGCGAACTGCATGAAGAGACAGCGGTCGGTGACTCCTATCGAATCCAGTATTGGGGTGACTCTGTTGAATGGTGGATTTTGGGGGGTCGGGAAGAACACGCCGATACTACTGTCAAGGTGAACTACATGAATGACGTTGTTGATCCTGTGGACAATGAAGGGAAACCGGAAATCACCATCCCTGGATCTAATACCGTCGAGTTTGTTATTGTTGACAAAAAGGATCCTTAGTTCAGGATTATCGGTTGTCATCTCAGTCCATTGGCAGGAAATATATTCAGCAGAGAGCGGAGAGGTAATAATAAAGCGTCCTCAGACATCTCATCAAGAACGATCTCCCACCCCAAGGACTTTATACACCACCCTGCGTATATCACTTTACGGCCCAGTCCCTGCGTTTGCATGCGCTACGAATTCGACGTCGGGAAACTCGGCGCTCGGCCCATGCAGCAAATCAGGAGTCGCACTGCTCAGCACGTACCCGAAGAACTGCATGGTATAGCGCCAGACAATCTCCTGTAACCGACGGCTATTCACCGAGCCGGTCAAGCCTTGTATGGCGGTGTCATGCAGACCGAGCAGGTCGGCCAGCAGTGGCAGGTCGGTGTAGCCGTAGTGGACGGTGTTGTTGGGGCGCACCCACGTTTTCCAGCCGCGCACGTGGTCCGAGTAGAAGGTGGACCAGTCGGCAGCTGGCGGCAATGCCGCGGACTGCATCATGAGCAGCGGTTTGCTCACGGTGCCGTTGACCACGGGGCCGTAATGTGGACCATCAATGTTGGCGGCGGCCAGGACACGAGCATCTGAGGCGGCGACGTTGACAGCCGTACTGCCACCAAAGGAATGGCCGTACATGAGGGCGCGGAGTGGCTTGGAGGAGCAAGCCGATGTCGAGTTGGAGTTGCAGCTGGGATTGGAATAGCGGCCCAGACCCGGCACGTTGCCGCGTTCAATGGCGTCAAGTACGGACACGGTATCGGCGATCCGGACGCTCTGTAAAAAGGTTTGACCGTTGCGGGTGCTGTCATATGCGTTGGTGGCGGCGCTGGGGTATGCAACATAGCTATCAGGGAAGACGACTGCAGCGGCCTCGTGAGTGGGGTCGATGGCAACGACCGTGTAGCCGGAGCTGGCGGCAGCCTGAAGGATGGATGCGTAGGCGTGATGAGTACCACCGTACCCGGGGCTGAAGAGAAGCAGGGAGCCAGACGGAGAAGATGGCGAGATAGGTCGGGAGCAATTGACCAGCTTCACTGGAGCGAAGATCGATGATAAATTTGATGATGATGTGTCCAAGAGCAGTCCTTGGAGAAGGGCGGTGGCGACAACGGGCGGGGCCCATGGTATTTGCGACTGATGCTCAAGTGGACATGCCAGGATGTCGAGGAACGGCCTATAGACGGTGATCATGAGGCGGCGAAGCTGTGGTGCTGGCGCAAGTGGGTCTGGACGCGAAGTTTTCACTTCATGATCGTAGATGGAGACTGGGTATGGTCCAAGTTGCGTGGCTAAGAGGACATCGAGCTGAGAGGTTCTTACCGGTTCGACTGCCAATGCTAAATGAGAAAGAGCAATGGCAGTGGATAGCATGGAGTGGAACCTCATGATCTAGAGATGGTGGTGATAATGGTGATGAGGGGAAGGAATCAACGCTCACACCTAGCAGCTAGAATTGGTTGAGGTTATATACTGTGCAAGTCCATAGGCCTAGCCAAGGCCTTGTCGATATCCATACTTAGATGTCTATCTATAGATATCGCATTGCAGCCTAAAAGGATCCATCTTACATAGACGTTGCCGATTACTTCTTGAGTTAGAAATGAATGTAACAACTGCGCTGCCTAACCGTCCAACCTTTCTTACTTACTGCGCCCCATCCATGGACATAACGGCCCGGGGTGCACACGGTCCGGGCTCGGCCCGCATCCGAGACCACGTCAACTCAACGTTACTAATACGGAAATATTGGTGTGCGCACCTTGGATATTATTTAAGTAAAAAACCTTTTGTCTATAGAATACACAGTTGTATCAGATATGAGCTAGGCAACAACTGCTATTCTTACTCTACAAGGAAATCGAATACATCCACATTTCTCTACCTTGCCAATCAGAACTGACGAGTAACCGCTTTTTTTACTACATGGATTATAACCCCACACTGAGTTGGACATAAATGCCCATGAATTAACTTCGAGAACCATAACTTGAATTATTTCCCAGCAAAAAGCCTCTTACCTCCCATGATGGCTGAACCGCATAGAACACCAAACTACCCACCCGAAGAATGCACCGCACGCGTGGTATGGGCAGCTCATATCCTATCCTATCTCGAAGGCAAAAAAAAGCAGAACGAGCTACACGAAGCTGGAAGAAAAGTCGAATGTAGCAGCGAGTCAGATGAGTCGAGCGATGATGAAACAGACTATGAGACAGAGAAGAACGCAGTTCTATCAGGTCCTCGAAATTCCGTTCGTCAAAAATTCTTGGATTGTATTGCCCAGCTGCTGTCCCCATGCAAGGGATGGGACGGGGTCACTGCAACGGCGATACGTGAAAGGGAAGACGGAGTCGAGGTAGATGTTGCAAGGAATGATGGCTTTCTTTCTGGCGAGAATCGCTTAGACGGTGAGATCCGGGGTTACTGTGCGATGATGGAGGAATATCTGGCGGATAGTGTTGGAGGTACGTGACCCCTCTGAATTCTTTTTCTCTTTTAGGGATTTTGGACATCCGATGACTGGACGTGACAGCTGGGACAGGGAGGAGCATGACTGCAACTTCGCCAACGGAATTTGAGCTCAAGACAATAGACTACACGTCTCGTCGGATCGATCATTGGATTGAAGCCCTCCGTAACTTCCTGAAAATGGACCAAAATTGTCCTGACCGGGACCCTGAACAGTGGCCTGGGCAGGAGACTGCATTGAGGACTTGGACGACTCTGACGAATCTTATACTGCAATTTGATGCCGATAACAAGACCTTCAAATCCAGGCACCTAATAGTTCAACAAGCTTTCAGATGTCTTGGCCTAAAACAGATTCGACATTTACTTTCAAAAATCTTTGGGACCACGGCTGGCTTGAAGCTGTGGAGAGCGTTGAACTTTGCCGCCAGGCCGCTAGTCGATTGCCGACTATTGAGATCAATAACTACCCAGGAGCCACAGTTTGGAACTTGCAAGATTTCATTGGTTATTTCCAAACCGAAGACAACTCTGGAAGCAAAAGACATGGTTGGGATATTCGAGGCGTTGGAACGACTAGGACTGGGCTCCACTCCTGAACTCGGGATCCAAACACTTCATCCATTCAGCGAAAGGTTTGAAAAGGAATGTGCAGAGACATTTGATCTACACGCTGAGATGCAGCTAGTGATGCACTACGAGGAGAGATGTGCACCTCGGCCTACCCTAGACTACTTTGGATGCAGTAAAAGGACTTGCTTGCTCTGTGAAACCACACTTGGTGCGTTGCCAAACCCAATTGCCACACGTGGAAGGCATGGAGTTTGTTATCCTGCCTGGGCTATACCCAGCTCGAATTCAGAAGCTGTGAAGATGGCCGTCGAACGGTTAGAGAAGAGCCTTGTAGCTCGCATCCGAGAGAATCTCAACAATTCGATACACCCTACACAGAAAATGATCGTTCCGAATGTCATGCAATCTGACATGGTGTCGGAGTTTTCGCATCTTACTCTCGAAGAGTGGCAGCAACGAGAACAGGATATGCAGCTGTTTAAGAACAAGCAGACAATCCAACGCAATGATCTGTTGAGTTTGTAAGATCATGTTTTACTAGTTCTGCTGGTACTGAATGACCAACTGACCATGACAACAAAAACCAGGGAAGCAATTAACTCGACTACAAACCCGAAGTATCACCTGCTCGACAATTTTGAACCAGAATCTTGTTGCGTGATGTGTAATACAAGCCCGGCAATCCAATGTGCACAGTGTCGAAGCACATACTATTGCTCCAAAGCCTGCGAGAGAAGTGACTCTCCTTCACATAGTCTTCTCTGCAAACAGTTTGCTATCCAGCCCGATAGACCCTCTCCGGAGCACAAGCGAGCGATATTCTTCCCAGTCGATACAGAAACGCCATGTTTGATATGGGTTCCATGTCGAAGCCGATATGATGAGGAAGACGGCATGCCATGGACACAGATTGATCTTTATCCATACCTCGGAACCGATGATCCCTCCAAAGGGACAATGCGCATTGAACATAATCCAGTACGATGCCGAAACCTGGGCTCTGGGTTTGCCGCCTGGTCTCATTACCAGGAAGGACACTGTGTCTCTTTGATACATCGCGACGCCTATTTGGTAGACGGGTCGACCACAAACAGAAGTATATTAGCTTCTGTGAGGACATCTTGTACCTCCACTACCCCACATGAATATCGCGGACCCATGATTGCCTTGCAAGGTATTCGCCACGATGGGTACGCGGATATAACACTAGCTGACTTCCGACATCTGATGGACTACTTGATCAGCTACCGTAACACGCATATCAGAGAGAGTGTTCCGGATCTGCTACATCGCGCCCCAACTACCTTAAGCGGTGTGAAGATTTGTTGTTATGGCGAAGTAAGATTACATGGTTCAGAGCGCTTCGTCTCCGTCGACATCACCCGAGCAAACCAAATATCCCTGGACAAGGGGTCTGTTTCACCTATATCCGTCTGCCTCGGTATGCCTATAAGATTCTGGAAAGACCCGAAGTCCGAGTTCTACTACAATCCACCAGGATGGGAGTGGAGCACGACAGCAGACAGTAATCCTAATGTTGCGTTCATGATGATGGAAACCGGTTGTTCCAAAGACGAGTGGGGATGGGCACCTGGTTACTGGAGAAGCGAGATAGGAAATGTGTGGGCTGCTCGCGAAGACGGGCGGGATCTGGCTGTGAAAGATATCTCAATGATGTGCCATTTTGCGAGGCGCAAACTACAGCCTATGTTTGAAGACGTGATGGAATCTGATTCGAGCGTGGTGAGTAGGCAGAGGGTTTTGGACTTCATTACTTGGGAGAATATGGTCGCTCATTGGAACGAGACTGTTGGGAACTAGCCATTTAGTTCACAAATCAAGACTGGACCGCATTGCAAGATTCTTATTGAAGTTAATCCGTAGCATTGTTGGGCTGATCTAAAGTTGCGCAAGCAGCGAATGATTGACCGAGAGATAGAGACCCTTTCCAAGCCAGCGCTCGGGCGATATATAAGTCCACTTCAGTGGCACCCCATTTAATCAATGAAGACAACTCTCAAGACAGGGAGTTGCGACGCGAATTTGCGCGAGAGTTCGCACGGGAATTGGCGCGCGAGTTAGCAACACTGGTCGTGCGACTTCCCATCGTCTGACGTATACGCAAACTCTGCTGGGATCTTGCAAGTGGATTGGATTTCCGCATGGGAACTTCAGGGTTCTGCTCGAGAATGCGATTGTGTGTCTCCACCCGGGCGTCGATCAATTGCTGTGCAAAGGGTGAACGTTTCCGAAGAACAGGCCCGTACCAATAGATCACGTAGACGGTGACGACAAGAACAACAGATATAGCAACTGGCAATGTATTAGCAAGGCTCGAGACATAGCTTCAACATGTTGCTGAGGCGTCGGGATTTGACTTACATAGGATGGTGGATGCATATTCGAGGTGATATTTGCCACCGATGTCTAGAAGAACAGTCAAGTCAACAAAAGCGTCACGTTAAAAGTATCAGGATTAAACAATATCTTACTCTCATAGAACGGGGTAGCAGGAACGGTCAGGACTCCCGCCAAAAAGTCCCTAGACCAGCCATTTCCGCCAGCTGCTGAAGCCGAGTAAGGCCCGTAAGCGCAGATCATATAGTCGATCGTACCCATAAAGATACTGAAATTGGCAATTCCAATCATAGCAGAGAACACCATTGTTCCGATCCAATGGCACTGTGGGAGACTCGTCCACGCAAAGCCAATCATGCCAATGGGAAGACACAACGCAGTGTAAAGAAGCCACCAAAGCCGCGACTCATATTGTGCACGCTCGTCATTTGGCTTCAGCTGCCGCTCTCTGACATTACGTCTGATCACAGGTATGGCGATGATCCAGGCGATGATATACCCCACCATGATGGGAAGAAAAGAGAGACCGAGAGCGACCGGGCCAAAGCCCCACTGCGCGTAGACCAGGCCGAATGACTGTATGAAGATGAAGATCAAGGCATCAGTGAACCCACTCAGCAAGGACAAGGTCAGAACAATAGGTTCTGTGAGGAACATGCGAAAGGGTCGAATCCAAGTGATCAGGATCTCTTGCATCGAGAATCGATCCTTGAATGGAACCAGTTCATTCGGACCGTAGACTTCCTCTCCATTTTTTCTCCGCCTCTTCGCAATGTTATCGAGCATGATCGTTGTCCGAGTCTCGGGTACTAGCACCAAGTGGGCAATTTGAACAACAGCCCCAAAGATGAGTTGAATCCAGATATTCCACCGCCAGGGTAGATAAGCTTCCACAAAGCCCCCTACCACCGGCCCCAGAACGGATCCTCCGACTGAAGAAAAGACCACACAGGCCACGGCGAACTGTTGGTCTTCAGCTTCCCACAAATCGGCAATCATACCCAGAGTGACAGAGCCGCCGGCGGTGCATATTCCCCCCAAGGCCCGGCCAACCATTATCGTGGTGAAATTCGGAGCGATTCCAACGGGGATCTGCCAGATGTTGACCAACAGAAGGCTCAGCTGGAGAATTGGCTTCCGGCCAAGCTCTTCACTCCATGGGGCCCACAGCTCACAACCAAAGGCATAGAGCACGAGGAAAATCATCGCACCACAACGTCCCACTTGCTTGCTGACATTGAACTCTTCCGAGATTCCTGATAGTGCATTAGAGTAGAGACTGGTGTTGAAGTTCATCGATGTTTGGACCAAGAATATGACCAGGATGATAGTCCACTTCTTGGACTCGGGAAATGAGTATCCAAGCTCCGCATAGCAATCGGCTTCCGTGAGTTCGACTTTCAACTGGCCCGGAGAAGAAGACTGGGATGTTAGCTATCATATTTCGACGACGATTGGTTGCATACCTTCTCTAGAACGGGGTCACATCGATCAATATGAGTGGATGAAGAGTCGGGCTCTGCATCCCTTTCAGAGTCCGCTTTGTGCTTGGAAAAAGTGACCATTGCTTTTGAGGGGTCCGATACTACTCTCGGGGCGTAGTTTGACAAAATATGTCAATGTTAAATCACAAGAGAAATCCCCAGGCTGACGAGGAATACGCGGGGATATAAGAGTGGGCTTACCTGGGGTAGCATCTCCATACTGGAGAAATAGACCCAGCTGAAATGATATCGGCTAAAAGACACAGGTGAGAACTATGGCCATTGAGACGCCAGTCTAATGCACTAAATTGGACCAAGTGGGAATCCTCGGCTTGTGACGGGGAGTGTCCGGCGGCCAAGCTCGCTGTGAGAGGTTCAAGGATGCCGAACTAGGGCATCGGACGGACCGCAACGCGTCGGCCGTGGCTATCGGCCCCGGAGTGAAGCAAACAATATGGGGCGCGCGGGTAATTCTACTCCAAGCGGACAGAAAGAGGTAGTTGATGCCCGCGGGGACCCACAAGGAAATTCCCGCGATGTTCACTACATCGCACTTTTTGATACTAACCCCTTTGGAACAGGAGAATATAAAACTTGATTAGTTGCAAGATGGTCAACGCAATGACCGAAATCCCCAAGATCGACACTGTACTGCTCCGGAATGGCCGTTGACGACATGACATGACATGACATATTCCCGATAAATCTCAATTACCCGACAGGAGTAGGAGTAAATCGAATACATGGAATTCCCTCGTTTCAAAGCCTGGATAATCACTTGGCCCCACCATCGACATCAATCACAGCCCCGTTGATGTAACTCGCAGCCTCACTCATCAAAAACAACACTACCCCAGCCACCTCCTCCGCAGTCCCGAATCTCCCCAAACTTGACGTCTCCGCAGTCTTGTCAACTGCATCCGGACCCTTCTTCACCGCAATATTAGTCGGAGTATGGATCTGACCCGGCGCAACCACATTCACCCTAATACCCTTCGGACCCAGCTCCAGAGCCATGGACTTGGAGAATCCCACGACCCCGAACTTGGACGCGTTGTAGACCGCCCATCCGGCCATTGCACGGGATCCAGCAATAGAAGATACATTGACGATTGAGGATCCTGCTTTCAGATGCGGAATGACAGTTCGCGTCATCAGGTAGGTGCCTTTCACATTCGTGTCGACGATTTTGCTCCAGTATTCATCTGTGGTGTCGATCAAGGCGTGCTCGGTGGGATTAACTCCCGCGCAGTTGAATACGTGATCTATCCGGCCAAAGTCTCGGATTATAGATTCCACGCTCTCGGTGGTGCCAGCTGGAGATGTCACATCTAGCTGGTATACTTGATGTCTGGAGCCGAGGTTGAGGGTGTTGAGCTTGTCAACGTTTACGTCACATAATGCTACGCGTGCATTGCTTGATGATAGCTTTGTGAAGGTGGCGAACCTGTTGAGGTCAGCTAGTATACCAAGGGCAACATTTGAAGAAGTGGGCGCTTACCCGATGCCACTTGCAGCACCTGTGATTAGGACACACTGGTTCGTGAAGTCGTATGAGACTGACATGGCAACAGAATCGGTAGAAGGATATGTTCAGGGAAATTCAGATACAACGAGGTATCATCTCTCAAGATCACTGTCGTGGACTCTTTATCAGAGCGAGTTGCAGAGACTCCAAATGATAAGACAATGATTACAATACGTGACAGGATCAAGTGTATCACTACACTGCCTGTGGCAATTTTACCTGCAATGTTGAGTATTGGAGCACGTAATTTACGTTTTGACCCCAACTTACCCCGTCGTCTTGGCATTTGGAGTACATCAAGAACCCATACAGGATCATTATTGTAATCATAGGTATCATCAAGTTGGCCACTGTCACACATGTGGTCTCGTTATATACAGAGTTATTAATGTCCTTGATCCATAAGCCTCTTCAAGAAGGCTGACCGTCCATCTGCTGCAATCGATCTTGGATCGCGTCATGATCATCATTGCCTTCGTCGTCTTTGTACTCTTGGAGCACGATACTACGCATAACACGGCGTGGGGCGCGGCGGCCAGTGAACAATTCAAACTGCGCGAATCCTTGTTCCGGGAGGACGTCGAGACCGTCCAGGGCTACCCAGCCGCGATGGGAAAGAGATCTGGTTTGTTTCATGAGAGGGGTGTTGAGAGGTTTGTATGCCAACTACGAGGAATGGTTAGATCTGGGTCCGATACGCGTTAGAAACAGGATAATTTATGGACATACCTCGACTACAACACCACCTGTAGGGCTTTCCAGCCACTGGGTGGGCATTTGGAAGTTTGGTGCAGGCTCGCCGCCGATACTGTGGGCAGGGATACCCGAGACGACGATGGTAGGTTGCTTGAAGTCAGCAGGCCAGGGATCTGACAGAGACTCCAGAATATGAACGGTAGGACGGCCAGACCCGCTGGCCTCCTTGGAGTGAAGGTCTTGTCGGTTGTAGTGGTGGGCCAGCCTCTCCGCATTGGCCACTGTGCGATTGTAAACGAAGATATGCTGGACGCCGAGATGGATCATGGAGTAAATTGCAGCGCGGGCCATTCCACCAGAGCCAATCACGAGGCCGGTTGTGGATGAGCGGACTGCGTTCGCGGGGGAGAGACCCCGGCGGATGCAATTGCAGATTCCGATCCAATCGGTGTTGTCACCGTGTAGGCCCTTGATAGGGCCCGCACGACACTTTTCAAGGAAGACGGAGGACTCCTGCAGGCGGACATTGTCAAGGTCCTGGACGTTGCGAATGGGGATGAGGGTGTTGATTGCGCCAATGGCGCGAGCGTGTGTAGACATTGAGTGGAGTAGAGGGATGCATTCGGTCTTATATGGCAGACTGACACTGGATCCGCCAAAGTATTGGTTCTCCACCAGATCGTTGAGGCCCCGTAAAGTGGGTGATTGGTGGATGGAATAGTTGTGTGGTAAGCCGCATATCTTGAAGGCAGTGTTGTGCATTGCCGGAGACATACTATAGGTGGTATTGGCACCAAAGACGAAGAATTGCATGGGATCCAAGGCGAAGGCACTGTAAAGGGACTGCTGAACCTCACGCGCTGTGACCCATGATCGTAAGTGGGTACGGCTCTCCGTCACCAGTGAAGGATGTGTGACTGGGGAGAGGACCGGGTTGAAGCAGCGAGACATGCGCCCCAGTGGTCCGGTATTGTAAGCAATTAGTGAGAGGGGGGTGACAGGCAGACTATGAACCCGATGGCGGAACCTTTGCACCGCAATATTGTCTTCCGGTGTCTCAGCTGGTTGGCAAAGTCTGACAATATCGCAACCTAGTCGTCGGGCCCTTTCGTAGACTTTCATGTAGCCATCCCCATCCCAGCCACCAGGCAGCGGTTGGAAGGCTTCAAAGTGGCCAATGATTCTTGTTCGTCCGCTGGCAGCAATGATTTGGGAAAGCACATGATCATCACGAGAGAGATCCACGGTCAAAAACCCCGTAGACAACCGCAGCCCATGCCGGACGAGGTTCAAGTAAATCTCATCCGAGCTGCGTGTGGGAGGTTGGCTGGGGGAAAGAGAACCGACAGTAGGGTAGCTTTCCACATGGTAGATCAATGGCACAATTATATTGCGGCGAATAGTTGCAATCGCCTGACTGATGCTGTCTGCGAGACTCGAGTCAAGGTTTGGCTGCCCAGAAGAATCCGTCACATCGATGGCTAGCTCAAAGGCATCGGCGCTAAATTCTAGCTCCTCGATGTCAATGCCTTTCTCGCACACCCTGGAGAACGGTACTGAGACTGCGGTTGTATAGGTTCGAGATTCCACCGGCAATAGCGATAAAGGGAAGGATGCATGTTGGCTATTGAGTTCGGCAATGTCACCGGTGATAAAAGCAATGAATCGGAGAAAATCTCGCTGAACTCGTTTGAGTGTGAGGAATGGTATCGGAGTATGCGATCTGGGCTCCGTTCTGACTGCCGGCGATTCATCACCGTCGGTGGATAAGTCACTCCGGGCCTCCGATAAGTTGAAAAATTCCAGGTTGGAACACCCGCGGTATATCGGACCGGACAAATCCAAGAAGTGGCGGACTTTCTGGGTATCCCAGGCTTTCAAATACAATTGTATACTCTCTGGATCTCGAATCACATGAATGACGGGATGAGTCTGCGCGTATTCTCTGAGAAGCCTTTGGCCGTTCCTCTCCATTGAGCCAGCTCCACAAGCAATCACGCAGCCCTCTTGGTTGTCTCCCAGCATTGATTCAAACACCCGCGCTTCCTGTTGGCGATATACGAGCCCATCATTTTCTTTTTTGAACACCGCACGGGGACATCCGACACTCTGATGAAAATAGCGGTCTGCATCAATCAAGCGCCGGCCGGATGTTGCGGCTAGAATGACTGCCAGGCTGGATTTACCAGTGCCCCGGATCCCAATCAAGACGATTGAAGCCTTCGGGCTGAATGTCCGGGGTGTCTGGAGATGACCATTTTCGAACAGCACGGGGGATCCGCGGTTTGAGTGCAAATCTCTAAGCGAGGGTGGGCGCGACGATGAATCCCGAGATACTTCTCGGTTCTCGCTCAATCGGCGAGACGGGGGTCGTGAGAGAGAGGGGGTGGATGGATTGAGGGCGCTGTGTTTCCGAGGTCCATCGTCAAGGGTCTCGGTGAGTTTTCGCTTCTGAGGGCGGACTAGCATGGACATCGCGAGAGTTTCGGAAGTGACAGAAACAGGGGGTGCCGAGGGAGTCGAGGACCCATTACCACCAAAATGATATAGGGCAGAAAAAGGACCAAGAGATGAGAGGGGAAGAATATGGAGAAAATGTGGAGGAAGCACCGATGTGGTAAGCGGGATTTCCCAGAAGTTTTGCGGGGGAAAAATGAATTGACCGTTACATCGGCTTACATAAGGCGGACGAGCACTCACCCGGCAACTTTCGGCTGTCCCCTTCCCCGCGGGGTCGGCACTCGCTGACATTTTACCTGTACGTGCATTGGATTTTCGAATTCTATGCTTCCCCAGATTGACTGTGAACTTGTTGCAATATATCACATTCGACACAATTCCAGGTGTGTGGGCATCGAGATTGCTGCAAACATCCCGGGATTACATTTGGCGAGGCACTGACTGGCTCACCGCTAGGCCCGGGTATCCATCTTCCCCGGAAGAATCTCAGTGCACCTGTGCTGGCCTCACACCGGAAATTCGATCCCTCCGCTCTCAGTCCTCCTGATACTAGCTCCGTTTATGGCGTAGTCGCCGGCTTGTCCGTGCAGCCGCCAGTCGGCAAAAGGATTCCTCGCTTCGAAACATGCGCCGGACTCTGACAGGTGGATTGTGAAAAAAATAGCCATGAGCGCGGAACAGCGCCAAGCCACTGGCTCCAGCGCCAAATCAAAAAAGAGGTGGACGGACCTCGATGAAGATGGGAAGGCAGAACCCAAACGCCAACGGGTGTCGCGCGCCTGCGATAGTTGCCGATCGAAGAAGGACAAGTGTGACGGGAAACAACCAATATGTTCGACATGTGCCTCGCTCTCACGGCCATGTACCTACAAAGCCAATCCGAAAAAGCGAGGCTTGCCGACAGGCTACATTCGATCACTAGAGCTACTCTGGGGACTGGTGTTTCAACGGATCCATGGCAGTGAGGATGTGATGCGTGCTTTGATGCGATCGACCAATCTTCCCAGTCATCTGGCCACAATGGGAAAGGAAGCAGAAGGATCCGATGCATTGATGGCTTCCTTCAAAAACAGCGCAGTGCTCCGGGATATCGAGCGGATCCTGGTGATGCTGGAACAACCGGAAGAGGAGAGGGAACGAAGTCTGCAGGCTTATGGAGACGGGGAAACACCGCTCGATGTTGACTCTATACTTTCCTCGGCCGATGCCCAGGAATGGCACATCCCCGAAGGCTTAGAGACTCGTGAGACACCTTTACCTGGGATATCGCCCAGTCGAACGGCAATCGGCATTTCCCCCTTCAAGAATCCCTCAAGGTCGACTAGAGAGTGCGGTGTTCAGACTGAGTTGGACGATGTATCCTCACCCTCTTTTGCCCTCCAACCGAATTACGACGACCCTCGATCGCTTTCAACCAAAACTCCCCTCCAACTCCCTTATAATGCATGGCCCCTGTTCGACATCTACTTCTCTTACACGCAATGCTGGTTTCCAATACTGGAAAAGCACGACATACTTCGGACTGCCTTTCAATACACTGAAGGCGATGTTTTCATCTCACGTTTTGCCCCCGGGTCCGGGGAGCATGCTGCCCTATGGGCTGTTTTAACACTCGCGTCACTCCAAGATGCCTCGATTAGCGCCACTAGACAGACGGACGAGCAACCCAGGGATCAACTCACTCCGTCCCAAATGTACGATATCGCCCGCCAGTTGATTCCCTCTGAAAGCGGCCCCCACGAGATAGGACACGTGCAAGCGCTCCTGATCTTGGGCCTGGTCAAATTTGGACAGCAGGAGTGGACGGCATCCTGGATGTTGATCGGCCAAGCTGCACGGATTTCCAATACATTGGGTCTGGACCAGCCTTCGTATCCATCATCATCCAGAACTGCTGATCAAGAAAAACAGCTGGGTCGGGCAAAGCATGTTTTTCTGGGTTGCTTCTTTCTAGAGACCTTTGTTGCCGAGAAAACCTCACAGTGCCCATCTCTGCGACGGGCAGACTTGGCCCGAGTAGGATCAATCAACGAGGATGGACTTGAAGAATGGCATCCCTGGGAGGATCAGACTGGCCTACGACCCCCACAGTCTTCACGTTCGTCTATGCAGCGTGGGCCTCTTCATGCTTTGAGCACCTTCAACCGTCTGGTTAGCTTGGTGTCTATCCTCAACGAGCTCTGCTGTTGCAAATATGATCCAACAATATCGCGGTCGCAGCTGGAGCAGCTGGAGCTACAATTACAACGTTGGGTGACAGCATTGCCAAAAAGCTATCGGGTTGATCTCCAAAGTCGACCCATACGCATCGCTTCGCCACACATCTTCGGCTTAGAAATGACATATGAGAGCGTTGCCGTTGCTCTCAGCTCTCAAATCGCCATCCGCGAATGTGATCAGAACATATTGGACCCGCCGCACAAACATCGTGCGACCGAAAGTTCAAAACGGCTTCTACAGCTCCTCCAATTCTACATGGAAACATACAGCTTTGCCGCCACGCCACCAACCTTCGGTATGATGCTCCAGTTTGGTCTCCCGCGATCACAGTCTCGAGAACTTCCGTCGGACCTGGATCTCGGATTGCAAAACAAGATACACGCCTTTTCCTCCCACCTTTCTGCGCTTTGGGCCATGGCAGATCGACCGACTGCTGGCCCCAGTCTAGCCCAGAGGCCTCAGCCCATGACGATAGGTGCGTCCCCAATGTCGCAGCAGATGGAGGGTTCCACTAGTGGTGAAATGTCGCTTCCGTTGGGCATATCCATTCCAACCTCACAACACCCCACTCCAGGCGATGGAAACCCTCCTAGCAGCTCGCACACCACCGCGCCTCATCCAGACCAATTTATGTCCACCCCATGGCTTCGGTCCACACAGCACATCGAAGACATCTCTCTCCTCCCTACCCCCTCCTCCCTTACCTCTGTTGGAGCCCCGACCGAACTTCCCCCACAACAAGGCCATATGGGTGGTCCTGTTGGCAATGCCCTTGCCCACCCGAGCTCCGCCCCGGGAAAACCACACAATGGAACCGGCATGCTCACGCAACTTTCCCCTACATACCACCACAATGCCCCATATCATCCCAATGCATATCAAGACCCGTCGCTCGCTGCGGGCACGTTCGTAGATATGGATGGATATGGCGCACCACGGCGACAGCGAATTGCCCCCGATCTCGATGCACTATTTGATGAATTGGCATCCCTTGACGGCGCAGAAAAGTAAACTCTCTCCGACACCCTTGATCTTTCCTGCTCATCCTGCTAACTGTCAATTTAGGGCCGATAACCAGCCAGAATTCATGCAGAATCTCGGTTTCGTGTCTGATGCGGGCATTCCTGAACTCTACTCGTTCTCCGGTCAGGTTGAGCCCTTCTTGCTCGCACAGACGCAGCAACTACCCGGTGACAGTACGCCATCCGGCGTACGGCGGGAGTCACAGTCGCTGGGCATGTCGGGAACTCCTAAGCGATGATCGGGACTCTAGTGCATTTGAGCTAAAGTGATTCGGAACCTTCCGTGGCCGCTGGTCGGTCCTTTCCGATGTTTTTCTCTATTAGCCCTGACGCTGTATCTTGGTCTTGGGTGGTTTAAATGCGCATGCTGCTATGCTCGACGCACCAAGCAACAGGCACGAGACCCATATCCTTATATTTACCTCCAAGAAAAATGTATCCATACATAATTGAAACATGAATTCATCATCTTCCCTAAATTTATATACAAGAATTTGCTGCCCCTTTAAAGATTGGCCTTCTCCTTCTCCTCGAAATTCACACACACATGCTCCACAGCCACCTTATATCCATAAACCCCCAAACCAACAATAATCCCCGCCGCCTTATCACTAAAGTAGGAATGATGTCTGAAAGCCTCCCGGGCATGGACATTGCTCACATGCAGCTCGATAAAGGGGATTGCGACGCCAACCAAGGCATCCCGGATAGCCACGGAGGTATGGGTGTATGCGCCGGGGTTGATGATGATACCGTCAACCTTGCCCCGGGCTTCCTGGATTCTGTCCACGATAGCCCCTTCATGGTTGGATTGGAAGGATTCTAGACTTGCGCCGTGGCTGGCGGCGACGTCGCGGCTGTTGGTCTCCACGTCTGCTAGGGTGGTGTAGCCGTAGATGTGGGGTTCGCGGGTGCCCAGGAGGTTGAGGTTGGGGCCGTTGATGAGGAGGATTGATTTGCCCATTGTGATTTATTTTGTATTTGTGCGATATGTTGGTGGGATGTTCAGACTCCCAAGTTGGCGATATACGGTTACTTAACTTGGTGTCGTATCGGTTATGTTCTTTGCGCCGGCTCGGCCCCGCGGATGAGTGCTTTGCCGTGGGGAAATGGTGGTTGTTTCTTTTCTTCGTTTTTTTCTTTCTTGTCCAATCGGGGTGTTTTTAATTATATTTGCATACGGGGTTATGGGGTAATATGTATGCAATTACGTGCATTGACAAGTAATTGTGATATTCCGTACGGGGAAATACCTCCAAATACGGAGTAGCCTGGTCTGCTATCGGTCCTTGCATAGCCTTATTTCTATAGTACCACGCATGCTCATATCGTCTACAGCTCGTCTGCTTTGCACACAAGTCAAAGCAAAATATGCCAAGTTCAGAGTAAATCTGTCCTCAATTAAGATTTGCCGAGCAAGGGGTCAAGCGCATTCAGCCACTTCAACAGTCCCCGCTTCAAGAGATCTCTTGGTATGTTACTACTTACAGATCTATATAGTACTCTTCCGTATAACTCATATAGATCTATAGAGTATAGATCTTGGATTCTAAACCTGCTCTCAGACACTTAAGACAATGGACCCACAATAGCCAATCAAAACCTCAACTTATCAAATCCTCAATTTTCACCTCAACCCATCACCCCCCACCATTCCATCCGGCTCTCATACCTAAATTATCGAATGGAATAGCCAAATGTCCACGCGTTCTCCGGAACAGACAGCCGCCAAAGGTATCTACCATCCGAACAAGACCGGACAAAGCAGCTAACCATCAGATTGTCCAACGTGTCAACGGCGACGGATCAAGTGTGATCGGGGTCTCCCCACGTGCCGCAAATGCGGCAAACGCAATCTTGAATGCCCAGGATACGGGCTAAGACTCAAATGGGTCCAGGGTGTCGCCAGTCGCGGGAATCTGCGCGGCCGTGCAATTCCCGCCTCGACTTCGCCACCCGAAGGGCGGAGAGATTCAAATGCCTTGACGACGGGAACCAGACCGCCTGTGCGGTTTCCCTCCATGTTTCCAACTCCCACTTCAGAGCTGGGCTTGCAGGCTCGCCCGGTGCATGAATCGCGATTGCTATCGTGGTTTAATGAGCGAGTTGCGCATCGGCTGGCATGGGTTCCCCAACAGAATGCATGGAGACATATGATTCTCCCTATGGCCGAAAGCTCGGAAACAGTCATGTCTTCCATTATGGCTATCGCCGCCCATGATCTGGCTACCGAGTATGCTCCCACAGACCCGGGCCATGGGACATTCCAACAAATGTCCAAGAACTATCAGAATAAATCCCTTGCGCTATTAGCCCAAGAGCTAAATGGTCTTTCCATTTCTCCTGCCACACCACTGGAAACCAGCACCACGTCAGCATACACCCTGGCTGCGGTCATCATTCTCTGCAACAACGAATTCATGAAACCCCAAAGTGCTGGTTGGCGAGTCCACCTGTCAGCCGCGCGGGAAATCATTCTAGCAGCACAGGGTCGCCCATACCGGGCCCATCAGCTAGCCTGTATCGAAGATTTCTTGATGTTAGAATTCTACGAAGCCTCCGTATGGGCTGATCTGACGACTTTCCAAAACTACAATGACACACCCCGGATTCCTCCGACTTGTGCCGAGAATGCAGTTTTCACAGACTACATCCGCATCATCGATCAAATTACCCGACTCGAGCGTCTCAAATCTCGTCCAACGCCTGTCGAGCAGCCCCCGTCTAAGTACGGCCCCATCCAGGATATCCACTCGCAGATCGATGCGGCGAGGGATAACATGATGCAGCTAAGCGCAGCTCTGCACTTCCCATCTGAGGATGATAAACGCGGCTTCGAATTGGTTATTTGGATGTATTACCACGCAACCATTATTTACAGCTACCAGGCCCTTGGGGAGGATGCTGCTACATACGATATCAGCACTTCGCGTGATGAGATCTTACGCTGGGTGCCATTTTTGTCTGAGACACGAGATGGAATGTTTGCACAGGATCTTGTCTGGCCGCTTTTCACTGCTGGATCAGAACTGCGTGGTGATCTGGCTAGCCAACAAGTTATCAGAGAATGTTTTGGTAATGTGATGCGCATCAGTCGCATTCTGGACCGTGCGCGTGTCCTGGCTTTCCTGGAGAGGTGGTGGAGAGAGCCGGTGGCATATACATCTTGGATTGACATGGCTCGAAAGCAGTCTTCAGATCCACAGTACGACATCTTGGTTGTATGATCCTATATATCTTGATCCAGTGCACACGCCTTCTCTCCGAAGATTTTACATAGACTCAGCCAAATAGAGACTAATTGTATCATACTGCATGTCCCCTCGCTTTCAACACTGATAGAGGTCTACTACTGACGAAAGGAAGGAGTAGCACGGAGGTCTCTGGATTGCGTGAAGAGAGAAAGAAGGAGGGAGAGAGGGAGAGAGTGAGGGGAGATCTATAGATGTTTGAGATGGGTCACGTGACCTAGGTCCTACAATCTAACAAACACGAAGTCATGAAGAGCGATGGTCACATCACATAGCGCTCGCTATAACACCGCTGTGAACTGTGAAGATTGTAGAAGCGTAATCCCTTCAAAAATGTCCATATCATCATGCTAAACCATGCGATGAAACGCGGACAGGTCCTGGGGGGTTGAAGACTCGCTAGGCCACAAGCTTCCAGTGCCATTAGTCGATCCAGGGACACAATCACCACCATTGAACATAGCATCCGCCGCCGAAGCCCACAAAGTTTCCGGTGTGATAATGTTATCCAGGGTAAAATAACGACGACACTCCGCAGCCTCGTATATGAACTGGCGGGGCAGGCTGTGATTATTGGGCTTGAACGCATTTAACAAATTCACTTGACCTGTAGTTAGGGTGAGAGGGAAATCACTGAGAGGAATAGGGAAAATGTCCTTGAAATGATCCATGTCCTCGGGAGCAACAATTGGCCCCGATGAGTTGGAGGTTTCCTGGATGGCAAGAGTTGCTATTTCGGCGATGTTGCTTATATCTTTGAGCCGGAATACCTGGGACCCCTTGACGCCTCCCATTCCTTGCATGGGGCCGTAATTGGGTCGACCGCCGAACGCGATTGTGCGAACTCCTTGGGCTTTCATCAGTTCGGAGAAAGTCACACATGTGGACGCACAGATCCCGTCAGTGACCTGAGAAGAATGTTAGTTGAGTAAAGTATGTTCGGCCAATGGAGACTTGCGAGGATGATATTTTCAGCCTTGAAAGCAGGCTCGGCTGGATCTAGATCAATATCGCCATAGCCACTGATCGGTGATTCTGAGGTAGAGGTCATGGTGAAATTATCAGCGACCAGGCTGGAAGACGGAACTCCTAGGATGTCATAGGGACCAAAAAGATCTTTCCAGGATTCGAACCCTGTTTTTTGGTCTGGCTTGACTTTTGACTTCCTGTTCAGGAAGATCGTATTATTGGGCTGAAGCACAAGCTCAGCTGCTCGCCCAGCCAGGTCAACACTCTCGTGGGCTCGCCACCGCGCGGCCGTGTAGATATCCTCGTTGGGGAAGAATAGCCTGAAAAGGTTCAATCCCGCGGTTATAACACCACCCCCATTGCCAGAAAGATCGATAATCATCTTCGTTCTGCCCGCAGAGGTTGCGTTGTAGATAAAATCTCGGGCAATTCTTGCAAAAACAGCAGTGCCGTTGGTGACAGTCACGTCACCCACAGTTTCATCGAAGGTGGGCACAGCGAGGACAGCGGTGTCCTCCAGTCCCTTGCTATCAGGCAAAAACCCCAAAATACGGTTAGCATTTTCTCTGATGACTGGCTCGGGATAGCCATCAGGTGCTGGCAGGTTCGGACTTGGAGTCTCATTTGACTCGTCCTCGGATGTTTTGCCAGAGGTCTCCTGTGGAAGGCACAGGGATTCCCACAGCGAGGTACCATTGTCAAAAGGGAATCCACTGATAGTCACAGTAGTTTCAACCACCAAAGTCGAGCCATTTGCAAAGCCAACCGTGTGGTAGGCAGTCTTCCCGGCACCGGCGGTGAACGAGCCTTCGAACCCGTTGGAGTTTCCATTGGCGCTCAAGCCTTGAGCAAGGGACATGAACTGGCCATTGTATCTAAGTGAGAAAAGGACGTTAGCGTGCATTCATCGCGTTCTAACCTTGGAATGGCATACTAACATTGCATCCCAATCCTGTGAGCCATATCCAACACTAAGCAGATACTCCATCACGTCTTCTCCGTTGATCGAAATGATGGGAGAAACCGAAGACTCGTCCTGCAGTTGCAAAGCATCGTCTTTTGAAAGAATCAAAACCCGAAGTCAATGGCCGCTAATGGATTGGAGTGACACGTACTATAAGCATAGACCTGTGGCAGCGCAGTGCCGTTCGATGAAATTGACACCAAAGGCATGTCAATTTCCAACCCAAAATAGTGAAGGGAGCATAATCGGATAGCCAAATGGCCATCGTAAGCTGAGTTGACTAGATCTGAGATTGCCGTATCAAAGTCATATTGATTGCTGTAAAAGCCAATGGCGGCCTTCACCTGGATCTCATCGAGGCCTCCTAGAAGGTCTGTGGGTGGCATGAGATAGCCTTCTGGGGGGTTGGGAAGTATTTCAAGGGTGGACTGGAATTGAAGGTATTTGCGATATTCCTCGACAAACGAGACAGCGCGTCCTTCATCGAGTGGCATTTCTCTCAGGCATTGGACGGCCAATTCGCCCGGGATAACGAGAGTATCTGTACATGACTTAACGGTGTGCTCAATGCCTCATGGGAATAATTACCATTGCCATTCTCGACGAAACGTCTGCGAATCTCTGGGCAGGCTGTGTCTTTCTCGACAGTGGATCGAGGTATGCTGAGGGCATAGATCGTAGTCAACAGACCGGTCCAGGAAGCTAAGACGATGTTTGGACGAAACCGCATGGTATACAGGGCGATGGTTGTATTGTAGTGCTGAGAAATGATCTGGAGATGGGAAGGCCACCACCCCCATCATCTTTTATACCCCATTGACACCTTTGCGCACTGAATGCCCGGGTGCTCAGGTGCGCGAATTCTCGACCGTGACTTCATGGGTCTTCCCGGGCCAGGTGCTGTTTGTGCACCCAAATAGCCTGACGAAGCCAAACATAGCTCTGGGCTTTAAGCTCGGGCCCGTCGGATCCCAGTTACACTTCACATAAGCCTGAGTCAGAGAATGATCTTCAGGCCCCCCGGTGTCATTTGCCAGAGATGATCATCATGAACCCTTGTGGATCATTTTGAGGTGGCACTGCGGCTGTTATGGTGGCTCCCGGGTTTGGGATGCAGGGAAAGGGGTGTCCAGGAGGGGGCGCAGGCAGGGGCTCCTGGTGGCCAGACCAGTTCGGAGGAACACATCGTTTGACGCATCGTCGAATCTTATTCTTTCCCTGGCGCCAAATCTGCCAAGAACAAGGCTGAGTGCCAAGGCTGCAACTGAGTACAGGTTGTGGAAGTGTTGATGAGGCGGAATATATATCCGAGGCCGAACACCATTTCCTAAAGTCTTCTGCTAAAACCTCGTCCAAAACAAAATTTAGAATAAAACACGAGAACTACTCTACTACAATCTTCTAAAAGTTGGAAATGATTCAAATAACAGTATTGACCCTATAACACCTCAGCTATGATGTTGTTGAAAGACAACACAAGACAAGCAGAGATGGCCCAAAAAGATTAACCATCTATGTCTTAATATCCCAGACTATTCCAGACTTTTTGCTCCAAAGGCATATCAATGCTCTGTTTTTAAGGACCTAGATCACGGTCTGTGGTTGCCCAGCACCACACTTGATTGTCGGTTTCATCGGGTTCGGCATCCCAGAGAAGATTGTTGAATTTCCCGAGTGCCAGTAGAACGTTGCAATTAAAGGAACGCACGTCAGGGGGTGACCATCCTGGCGCTTGTTTCGAGGATTTGAGCGCACCCTGGCAGAGAAGTCTATTGCCAGAGCTTGTTGAGTCAAGGGCTTACGCCTCTTGCGCCCAGCGTGACTCACGGAGTGGCATCTCTTCGCCAGCTTGCTTGCGGGTTCCGTTGACCTCGCGCTTCCAGGCGTAGTACTCACCAAGACGGATCTCGGCGTAGCTGGCATAGTCGAAGTCGATCTGTGAGATCTGGGCTTGGATAAGTGCCCAGACACCCCTGCGGAATAAGGTCAGCAAAACATCACGAGAGGGAAATGTTCCCCAAACTCACCAGTAGAGACCGGGCATGCCTCGGAATCGGTCGACGTCCTCGTACAAGCGATCGACGATCTCTGCCTGGGACGCGGCGTCTAGACCGCTCGTCTCGCAGTAGCTGCTGGTGTATTCGGTGAGGAATGAACGGCGCACGGACTTGGTTGGCATCATGGTGTAGTCGCAGTCATAACCACCCCACTCGGCGAGGTGGTTTGAGATATCGAACGCGGCAGGCGCAGGGACGGCATACTCGTAATCGATGAAGTTGACAGGGGCGACATCTTCAGAGACAGTGTTACCGTCGCTAGGGAGGACGATCACGTTCGCGCAGAGAAGATCACAGTGTGAGAAAACGAGCTGCAAGTTCCGACATTAGCCAACCATTCTCCAATCGTCGCACAGGAGTATGATATCCCATACCCCATCTTCACCAATTCCCTTTCCATCGTCCAACAGCTCCACCGCCCACTGCAGCTCCGCCTGCAAGCTTAATCGACGCGCCCGCTGTTCCGGTGTCCCAACAGGCAGGGCCAGCACCCACTTCTGCAACACCGCCCAGATCGACGGGCCTGCGCGACGGGGCTTAATTACAGTAATCTCGGGGTCCTGCTCCAGCTCAGATGCATCCTTGAGGGCTGTGCCGCTACTGGGGAGCGCCGCGTGCCACTGCGCCAAGCGACGGGCCACGCCGCGCCAGATGGGTGGGGAAACCAGGTCTAGGTGGCCGCAGGGCTTGCCGCGGATGAAGCGATAGAGCAGGCCGTTTTGGAAGCGGGCGAGGAGTGGCGGGGCCAGACCGCGACTGGCGAGTAGGGCGTGTGATTTGGTTTCTCCTAAGGATCTCTACTTCAGCATATGTCGCAATGGGCAAAAGAGTCGCACGGGGCTTTTTGTTTGTTTTTCCAAGGGAGGACGACGTCCGGGGGGCTCGTACTTTCGCGGTCTATCAGGATCTCTGTTCCATTTCCGTACGCCCTCATCAATACGGCCTCATTGTCTATTTGTTCCTCAGTCAGGCCGGGCTTCAGGTTGATGATTTTCAAGAGCTGGGGGTTGTGTTAGTTGGGGGTTCCGAGTTCATTGTGGGATGCGCTGGGCAGACACACGGTATTGGTGATGCCGTCGGTGAACCGCACGAACTCGATGTTGTTGCCTGGACCTTCCCAGTGGGGGTTCAGGGTCAAGATGAGCCTCAGGGCTGTTGCCTGTGAGTCTGCATGGCTGTAGGAGAGCGGAATGTAGCGAAAGTCGGGCGCCACAGGCGTCTGGGTCTCTACTGAGCCCATAGTGAAATGGCGAAGAGGGGTGGGACCGGGAGGGAGGGGGGAATCTGCTCAATCAGTGTCAAGCCTTGTAGGCTCCTTTAGATTGGGAATCTCTCGAAATCGCGATAAGCCCTGTCAGTCAAAAGGGAGTGGAAACAATTAATTTAGACAGAGAAGACAAGAAGAGAGGCACAGAATAGAAAAAGGAAAAAGGTGATTCAGGGGGGTCAATAAAAAAAGAATAGCGCTATGGCGGGGAGGTTAAGACACGAGAGGTCTCGTGCTTCCGCCCCATGATTGGAAGATTGTTCCTGGGGCCTGGGACCCTGCGAAAATATATGCCGCCACTTATTGCTTGTTTGGTGGTTCTCAAGTTTATTTTACATTGTTTGCTGTAAAAAGAGGGATGTATTTAGTTTAATAGTGATAATATACGGAGTAGAAGATGGAATGAATAATCTAGAAGGATCAAGAGTCACAGTACATCAGGTAGATTCACGTTGATATACTCCAGAGTAGGGAGTACATGAAGATATGTGGCAAAAAGGGTCTCTGGCCAGGTACCGGGTACTTGCGATGCACGATGTCCTTGGTACCTCTGTCACATGCAAATGACCACAGAAAACAGTCATGTGATACTTATCACATGACTGAGAAAGAGCCCCAGCCCTATCTTCCGAATCTGGCTATCTGTTACATAATAAATAATAAAGAGGCTGAGTCAGCAGGGAAGAACTTTTTCACCGAGCCCCAATCAGGGCTAGCGTCGACCTGGATTTCCAGCATAAATAGCAGAGCTTCTCCCGGCCCTTTCGTCTTTTTTCTTTTCTCTCCATCATCAGTAGAGGTTTACTATTCTTTAGTAAATTTCAACGGGGCTCCACACAGTGGCTTGCTGAGGGTTATCCAGGGCTTCGGCCTCCATGGGTTTTCTTCCGTTCCCGGCCTTGGAGAGTAAAGGCGTCTCTCTTTTTCCCAATCACTTTATGGCTATACTAGGGTTTCCTTCTGGAAGCTCCATGGGTTTTAGCTGTGGAGAGGACGTTACATACCTTTTTTTTCAACCACTGTCATGTGGTTTGAACTTTTTGGGCAGTTGGCTCGTAGCATTGAATCGTAACTGGCAAAGGCATAGATCCGAGAACATGCCTGCATGTGCACTGCGCATCAGCAGTGGACTGCTCTGAGCTGTTGGATACGCCTGAGGATGCAATGTCCGACTCCCAGCGCGAAAACTCTTAATGTTGGGTTTGCGTGTTGGCGAAACGAACATAGACATACGTGCCTTGACCAGATTTAGCATGTCAGCCTGGGAACCGCCCGTGGCTGCTGCCGTATCACGATTCTAGCTCACGCACTCCCCCGCCTTGTACTTCCTACGGAGTACAACCACTCAATGTATGCATTTAGTATCTCCAATTGGACACCAAAGCACCCCATACTCAAGACCTACGCGGTAGACAAGCTGCAGGCAAAGAGACTCAATTGTCATCACCGTCGTAACCATTTAATTTTCTATCTGCTTTTTACATGTCTCATGCGTGTCCAGCATTTCCAATCTGGATGCGTGTTCCATCCCACTTGTCATCACTGCGCAGCACAGGCCAGCTGGTGCCGTCGGCCTTGATGAGCTTCAGGTCCAACTTGGTGCCCAGGACCCGGAATGTCGACTGCTCAGGGTCAATCGCAGCAAAGAGGGAATATGTATCCTGGTAGCGCTTGTTATCGGTAGTGGGCAGGTCGAGGACAAGGGAGTTGGCAGTGAATTTGACCTGGGCGCGTTCCTTGTCAATCTTCTTGAGGTAGAGCGAGACATTGACCGCGGTGGGAGTCTGGTAGAAATCGTTTCTATCGAGACATGTTAGTTGCGCCTCTGCACAGCGGTAGGTCTTGTATACATACCGAACGGTCTCAACCTTCTCCTCCCCAGCAGCCTTGGCCTTGCCCACGTACATGTGCCTTGTCTTCTCTGTGCATCCGGGGATCTTCAAGAACTCGTCGAACTCCAGTACGCGGCGCTTGCAGCATGACCATCCCTTGCTTCCCTCGTGGAAGACAGGGTGGCCTGGGTGGTGGACACACTTTTCGTCGTCGCGGGCAATTGACCCGCTGTGAGAGGCACCGCAGCCTCTCCGGCGACAGGTGGCGTTCGCGGGGATCTCCACGTCCGGGTCATCCGACTCAGGCTCCTCGACTACCGGCTTTGCAGGAGGTGCGGCGGTGGCCGTGGCAGGGGGTGTGGCAATGGGCGGGCGCTCATTCTTCTTCTCCACTGGAGGAGGGGCCTCCTCGACCTTCTTGGGCTCTGGAGCAGGTGTATCATCGACTGTAGAATGCTTGCCGGTTGTGCAGGGTGGGATAGCGAGGAATTCCTCAAAGGTCAGGACGCGGGGCTTGCAGCATTTCCAACCTAAAGAGTTAGTGGTGTTGCGAAGAGGAAACCCGTCAGGGTAACCGAAAGAGTCAATCTATGCGACACCAAGGTACTTACCTTTCTGCCCCTCGTGGAACACCGGAGGCCCTGGATGATACACACACTCCTCTTCAGGGTCGGAGAAAGTCTTCCCACAGGCCTTGTGAACACACTTCTCCATGATGTATATCAATTAGCTTGCAGCAGTCAAAGAATGTAAAGAGGAGATGGGCGGGTTGCCCAACCTGGTTTAGCGGGGCAAAGCTCGAATGTTCCAGAGCTGACCGCCGTCGCGTCTCGGCTTAACTACTACAACTATGTTTCCTACGCGCGCTCTCCTGGCCTCTGCCAGGCTGACTCTTTTTACTCGTGCAGGCTGTGGCCTCTGCGACACTGCCAAAAATACTGTGTTGCAATTGCAGAAACGACGATCCTTCGACTACGTGGAGAACGACATTATGGCCCCTGGAAATGAAGCATGGAGGGAGGTCTATGATTTTGATGTCCCAGTCTTGCATGTCCAATCAGTGCAGGATGGATTGCCCAAGCAGGCTGACCTCTCTGATGCTCGCAAATTGTTCCATCGATGGACAGAGCAAGAAGTGGAGCGGTCGGTTGAAGAGGCAGAGAACCAATAAGCCCTATCTCTGGGCTGGTCAGACTTGCATTCCATGTACTCTGTACAGAGCACCTGGCGACCTCTCCTACACTGTCTCCCATCGACCTAAAGAGTGTGACATGGACCCTCGCCCCATCTTGCTCGTGTCCTTGCTTTGATGTGCTATATCTTTTCCTCCCATCCGTTGATATTGTGTTGAAAACATCACACAGATCTCCCAGATCCTACTTTTTTTTGTTTCAACCAATCAAACTATTTGTACCTTGGTCTTATACACTATTTGGAAGGTCGAATAGCCATACTGGATCTTATTCCAAGCTGTATTCTGGACCCAGGGTCATTTTGCCTACCGAGGCCTCACCATTGTTGGATTTTGTGCTTACAATGGGGTATTCACATGGGTGAGCTCTGAAAAGAACACTTTCAGAGGTGCTGAGCATGCTATACTCGTGGACATGATCTGGATTGAGAAATCCTTGGGCACATTTTGAACATAGAAAGTATGCCAGGAGCCCGGATTATTGTAGTCCCGACCAGGACCCAGGATCGGCTTCTTATATACCCGGCCTATGGCCTTTATACTTGGCAACGTTCTATACTTCCCACACCATAGTCCATACGTTGAATCAGATGGTCAAGCTCGACACCGAACAATTTTTCTGAATCAAGTGCTTGGGCCTTTCCATGATCCCAGGGTCGCAACCGTCCTTGAAGGGTTCGTTCCCGACGCGCCTGGGCGCGTTCCCACCAACTTCCTCCAGGAATCTGAGCTCGTCAGCTCATCTCTCAGTCCGAGTACTTTAAATAGTGAACCATGCTCGTCGTCGATGCTGCTCTTCTTTAACCAATGTCCACCCCATGCCCTCTTGCAATATGTGCTCTCCATTAGTACCATCCTGGCTCCTTGGCCTCGGTATCTAAAGCTTGGATAAAGCCATCCTGGATACACGACATCGAGCCGGCACCAAGATCTTGCACTTTTGCGAGCTGGTGAAACACACACTGACGACCCATAGTACTGACCTTCCACTGAGCCAATACTGACCAAATTCCGGAGATGACAATGCCCCACAGGTAACATTGGAACGCCAACGAACCCATCAGTTCATCCTCTTGGACATGCTTTTCTTGTCCATCCTCAGTATTGGATGCGGATGGGACAGAGCTTCACTGTTCTATCGGATTCAGGGTTGAAACTGTTTGCAATATTTGCCTCAGGTGCCCACTGTAGATAACCAGCCTAGCTAGCTTAGATCTTCTCTCTCCTCTCAACCAATCAACCATCGTTCTAAGCAGTGTTTTGTGCCCTTCCCCACTGAAGAGAAACCAAGAAGAAAATTGGTAATGCTACATCCAAGGGTTTCAAGGGTCTTCACAGCATCAACAGGCTTCAGAAACGTTCATTTGTATCGGAAGTGACATAATAACTAGAAAGAAAGCCCAAGAATAAAGGTGTCTGTTTCGATGCTGATTTTAAATTTGAAGTGATCATTGTTAACTTCCCTATGACCTCGGATCAGATTCAAGAGCAAATACTGCTTCATATATGTTCTGTTGGGAGGGACCTTGCCACTCGATTGAACTGAGAGGGCGATTACTGCATGTTGCAGGTGGACGACCAAAGGAAGTCGCTCTCGGTTTCTACTTCCAACCTTTCTCCTCCTTCCACCGTTTCTTCACTACCCACTTGTCTTACACTGCCATCCTTTCCCCCACTTCCAACGTCTCTTCTACTACCCAATATCTTTCACAAGAGATTTTCCGGTTTTCCATCCAAAAACTCTTCTTCCCTTCTGCATAATCTACTGCTTCACCCCCTTTGAATCTGAATCGGAGCCAAGTATCGACTAGGTGCCGGAATCTTCATCGCAATACCCCCCGTCCTCGACCTGCGGAGCAGCTGCCGGAAATTGAACCATACCTGCTCACCGAGTAGTCTCAAGCAACACAATGAGCCTCCGCAGCGCTGGCCCGTTGGGGTCTGAAAGCCCCTATATTCTCCTGGATATCTTCATGCGTAAAGTGAATCCGATGGTGGCCTGTCTGGTTGTCGATTTTGACACGCTGCAAAATGGGCTCGATATTGCCGTTCAACGAGGAATGGCCACTTTCGAGATCGACGACACGGTTCTTGCTCTTTGCTTCGCCATCGGTGCCCTCATGAGCGGCGACCATCTTGCCTGGGTCGCACAAGAATGGTCCACCGCGGCTCATGGCAAACTAAGTGCGGCTGGAACTAAAGATAAATGCATTCCATACTTCGTGTCCCGAATTCTGCAAGTCGAATTCCTCCAGATCACCGGACAACTCCGTGAGGCCTGGATCTTCTTGTCTTCGGCCGTTTTCGAGGCTCAACACCTTGGCATCCCTCTCGATTTCGAAGGAAACGACCCCATTATCGATAAATTCAACCCACGGGTTAGAGCCCTGTGGATAGCCATGTGGATAGCACAGATGTCCCTCACCTCTCAACTTGGCCTTGCAAACCGTGTCAGTAAATTGCATTCCAAGCGACCGCTCTTCGAACTTCCCTGGCTCATGACTCCGGGAAGAACCATGGGGATTGACCACCAACCTCACTACAGGGCCGATTTTCTCACGGCCTGGGTCGACCTCATTAACCACACAAAGGAGGTTGTCAAAGTTCAGGTTGAACTGCGGTTGCGGGTGCCCTCATGCCCTTTCAACTGGGTCAAGGGCTTGGACCTCAGTAATTTCACTGAGACCAACAACAAGATGTGCCGGTGGAGGCAACATCTGCCCAAAGATCTTGAGTGGCAAGATCACCCAGCAAATTTCTCCATGGATACCAACTGGGCCGTGCATGAAATGAATGTACTTCTGCACCTGCAGTATGCCTCGCTCCAGCTGAGGCACCACCGGACTCTATTAGTCGTAGCAATGCGACTCTCGTCCCTATGCGACTGTGAGGCCCAACATGCCTTGTTCCTCTGGGATACCTTGGGTCAAAACTTTGAGGCTATTCGCCTATCGACCCTACAGTGTGTCACGGCCGCCAAATTTATTATTCAGGCCCTAGGAGGAGCCTCGGGGACCGGCCTGAGCTACAACCTGCTGGAAATGTCGTCAAGTGAGAGGATAGACCTGGTCTACAGTGCCGGTCTGGTCCTAGTCGCAGCCCGGGGAATTCCCTTCGTTTTGCAGGAGGCAGGGGCACTGTCGATCCTGACGGAACAAATTGAACAGGCAAAAGGCATGATGGCATACTGCCAAAATTTCTATGGCAACCACCCCGTGTTCTCACGGCGTATTGGGCGGGCGCGCGCCCTCTTGGAAATCGTCATCCACATTTCGGCCGTCTACATGGCACAAGGAATGAGAAGCGTCGTGTCTGACGCAAATGTTATGGCCCCTCGGTCTCTCTGGGCCAAAATTTATGGCCGACTGTGGCTGAGGTTCCCTCCCACTGGAAACCCCGGCTTGGTCGCCGGACAGCGGATGACCTTCTGCTGGGTGCAAAGCCTCCCAGTGGACTTTGATTAGGGTGAAATTCAGAAGGGATGTGGATACGAACAAATTTGAACAAAATATCCATTTTACATCGCTCCTTACAAACTGAAGAGGGAAGAGTGTGATGGTGGTCTGACATAGCAGACAAGACGGCAGCAGGGGTATGGGGCAGCACCACAGCATGGGCGGGCAGTGGAATCGACTGTAGCTATCCTCCAAGAAGCCGAATAAGAATCAGGGTTTCACTCAGATCAGAGATGTAGGCGGATCCTCCACTACAATACCTAAATTGCCTCTCCTGTATACCGTGAGGTCTCAATCCTTGTTATTATTCTCATGACTTCGACCGATGAGCTCAGTCCTTCCAGTTAAGCCGTCGTGCTATCCATTTCACCGCATACACCAGCCCTAATAATACTGGAACTTCAATCAATGGCCCGACTGTTGCCGCAAGAGCCTGATTGCTGTCCGCACCAAACACGGCCACCGCAACCGCAATAGCCAATTCAAAATTGTTGCTCGCAGCAGTAAAGCTCTGCACAGTCGAAAGCTTGTAACCGAAGCCCAAGTAATAAGCAAGGAGAAGAGTTGCAAAGAAAATGATCAGGAAGTAAACGATAAGCGGAGCCGCGACTCGCACAACAGAAACAATCTGTTCCACCACATGGCGACCTTGAGAGGCGAACAGTACCAGGATCGTGAACAGCAACCCAATCAAAGACCATGGGCTGAGCCATTTCAAGAATGTCTCGTCGTACCACCTCGTGGAAATCCTTCGAATGATGAACCGCGTGAGGATTGCAGCTCCCAAGGGAATTCCAAGGAACACTGCGACACTCTTCGCTGCAACGGCGTATTCAAAAGTGACTTCGTCTCCACTGATCACGCTGATGAAGAAAACACCCATCGGAGCAAAAAGGACCATTTGGAGTATCGAGTTCAGAGCAACCAGAATGGCGCAGTATTCGTTGTCGCCCCCTGCTAAACCGGTCCACACCAGCACCTAACAAGTGTAATCAGCATTTATTGACTTTTGGTTATTTTTCAAGTGAAACCTACCATAGCTATGCATCGCGCAAGCCCGACTACGACGAGTCCTTGTCGCAATTCTGGCTCGTCGGGCAGGAAAGCCCAGGCCAACCCTAGCTAGATAACCTCCATTAGCCATAAATTCATAACTTGGAGTGGGTGATCTCTCTTACCATCAGGAAAGGAGCGACAATCCAGTTGAGCACCAAACTCAATCCCATCTGTATCCAAATTTCCTTTTCTCGAAACACATGGTGCAGAGATTCAAATCGAACCTTACACAAGATCGGATACATCATAACCAAGAGGCCGATCGCTATTCATAAGAATTCCTGTCAGGGCTTTGTCGCATATTATTTGGGTGTTACTTACCAATTGGAACTGATACACCGACAAATTTCCCTTTTTCAAGAGCAGGCCCTGTGTTGGGTACAAAGTTGCCCAGAATAATCCCGATTGCCATAGCAAGGAAGATCCAGAGGGCGAGGAAGCGATCGAGTAGCCCGAGGCTTGCAAAGGATGATTGTTTTTTCTGTGGCTCATTTGGAGTATTGAGGTCATCTTGCTTTTCAATGTCGCTGTTTGGAGTTGCGTCCTCATGGCTAGGAACATGTGAACATGTCTCTGACTGAGAAGGTGCCATTGTGAGGTTGGCAGGAAGAAAAGATGTTTTAACAAGTATCAGTTGTCAATGGAAAATGAAGTACATCACCAGGGCTCTATATACTCTCTGACCCAACTCGGGTTTGGATTGATATGTCACTGGTGGGCTCTGATTGGTCGAGAAAATAAACTATTGGATCTGTCAGCATACGGTTTTGACCAATCAGCGCAGAGCAGTGACATTCCCGCCACGCGGGGTATAGGTGACTTTTCTTTTGCATAGACACAAACCACTGAATAATCCTCTGAAGATCCTTCCAGTATCTCCTGATTATCTTATAATGTCTACCGAAGCACCATGGCATGCGGCATTTCCTGCACCAAAGAGTGCACCATCCTCCATTTCACGGGAGGAGTTGCTCCAATGGATGCAAGAGGGTAAACAAGCCGGCAAGGACTTTGTCCTTGTTGATGTGCGTCGAACAGACCACGAGGTATTATTGAATGAGTCGAATTGTACTGGGTGATTTATACTAACACTGTGCAGGGAGGAACAATTAAAGGGTCCATCAACTTGCCCGCCCAGAGTCTCTACCCGACGATTCCATCACTATACTCGCTTGTATCAAACAGTGGCGCTAAATACGTGATTTGGTACTGCGGTAGGGCATCTCTAAATCTATCCTGATCTGTCAAGCTTATATTGATCCATGTCTAGGATCATGTGGAGGCCGAGGACCACGCACCGCAGCTTGGTTTGCGGATTACATCCAAGAAACAGGGGATACAGAGATGAAGAGTCTCATTCTAGCTGGCGGTATCAAAGGATGGGCTGCTGCTGGAGAGGAATTCACTGCCTTGATTGATGGTTATGATGCCTCCGTCTGGAAAAAATAAAGAATACGTCCCTTACATTACCGCAACACGCCGTTCAATGACTAGATGCATTTCACCAAGAAACCATAGCGGGGCTTTTATTGTTAGCCGTATCTCCAAGAAGGTTGAAATGCGTGGGAGTACCTACTAATTCCACCATGTACCTTCTCAATTATTAGAGAGATGAGGCTGCGAAGGTTCTTTCGAGATGTCACTCTCCAGTGACTCGCGATGCGCTCGGTCTCCTTCTTCCAAGCGCTCAATTGGGAATGGAGCTGCGACTTCACTCAAATTGTCCATTGAGTCGTCATCTTCTTCTCTCCAAGTGTTTGTGTGAGGGGCGTCTTTGGGACTCGAGTCGGGATTCTTCCCATAACCACATGTAAGTATGCGACGCAGCTTGGAAAGGTTCATCGTGGACTCGGCGATGCACTAGCTGTAACATCAATTCCCTGCCGCAATTTACAGGGGTGTGTATTTGCGAGCAGCTTCATCGATTGGCCACCAGGTTACGTCATTTTGATGGTAGGGCTGGAAATTATCGGGCACTTTTCCGAAAGCTCAATGACTCGTTCCTTTCTCTTTCGAATTAAACCCATTCACTTAGTCTAAATGTTTTCTGTTCCCAATTCCGGCGAGGTCGGGCGCGTTCGGCATGCTGGTGAGCAGGGCCCCTGCGACGCGGGAAAAGCCGGGCGACTGGTGAGCATGTGAGCAACTATAAACGCCAAAACACTGCAAGGCTGTACTTTGTTGCATTCTGACTCACTGAGATGGATTCTTTGTTTAAAAGGAGCCGGTTATAATTGAACAGGGCATCATGAATATTTTTGCCGAATTCTAAGTCCTTGAGTTCAACCAATGGCCCCCCAACCCTCCCAGTCCTTCTTCCCCGGGAAGGTGTTCTTCAATGCCCTTTACAATCTAAGTTTTAAAAGAGAAGTAGAGCCAGAGTTTCTGGCTTCGTCTGCTGCACGCTTTGCCAACCCAAAAAACCATGTCACCATGTCGGACGAAGTCTCATGGACAGTGAATGCCAACATGCTCGGTGGCATGGACGATCGAAAAGCTCTATCTTTATTCAGCCGCGGGTTCTTCGGTGGATATGTGTTAAGAATGGAGCGCTTCCTCCTAGCAAATGGAGCCTGGCGATTGCTTCCTGTGCATTTCAGCAGTGAGTTTCTCTGCAAGGAACTTCCCATTTCGAGGATCTCCAGAGTCTTCAACTAATGTGATCAGCGTTCCCTCATGACCGCTCTCAAGCACAGATATGGAAGGAATCCGAAATACAGGGCGATGATCTTTGTTCAGTTGGGACAAAGCTTTTTGGCAGTTTCCAATTGCTCGACAAGCATATCTCTCAGTCGTCGGCTTCGTCCAGTTATGTCGACTATGGATTTGGCTCGGACACCTATTCATTTGCCGGCTGTCATCGATTCCGCATCACAAGAATGCCTTCTCAATCCGAAAAAGAAGGGCAGATCCGAATCAGCCTCGAAGGATTTCATTGTGATCCCCAACAAAACAAACTCTGGATGCCCCGTGTCATGACATGGTTCCATGCCGTATATGCGAGGGTTCTTTTCGCCAATGGGGTCCAGTCATTATTTGATGGTGCACATGATTAATAGGGCAATGTATAGTTGAGTCTTCCGTCAGTGGGCATTATCAAGAGTTGTATGTTTTGGACTCGTTCCATATGTATCAATATCAGTAACCGGAGCTGATATATTTAAGAAATAAATTTAGCTTCTACGAATAATAAAGAAGATTCATTAGGTAAAATATAGCAAAAAAGAACAAGTGAATTCCAGGAGAATTAAAATTGACAAAAATGTAACAAATTATCCTCGTCGGAGATTAGTCTTAACTCCGCCCTCAGACTTCACAAACTGCGCCACTCCCTTTGTTCCCATCTCACCTCACATCTCACCCTCACCCTAATGGCACATGAAATGAATAACCCACCCGTTGAAAGCTCCCCTCCAATCTCGGACCAATTGGACTCTGTCGCCCGGAGGAAGCTACAGAATCGGCTTAATCAACGCGCGCGCAGTAAGTGGCTCCCCGCTAGTTTCGCCACGAGCCCGGACTCATTTACCCACAGGAAAGAGAAAGGCGCTAGAGGCTGAAAACAAAAATGTTTTCAATAAAAAATGGGTAGTCTACACCGACGAATCTACCGTGAAACCATTCACACACCCTGTTCAAAAGCCAAGCCAATCAAATCCCTACGTCACCGACATTTCACAACAGAAGGACTGCAAATCTATATGGGGAATCGATACTGCTGGAAACGATGCCCTATCCATTGAAGTATATATACGAGCCTTGTATCAGCTACAGAACCCGACTCTCTCACCAGGCCCATCCTTCCGTGTAACGCAATACAACCTACTTATTGCTACGTTCACGAATGCCAAACTCATGGGATTGACCTTCGATCTTCTGCAAGAAGATCTAGCATCACAATTCAATCTGGTCGGTCAATCATCACTGCACCTTCCACCAAGCCTCTGGCCGTCTAAATCGCAGCGGAAAATAATTCACCACCCGTGGATCGACTTGATCCCAATACTGTCCCTCCGAGAAAGCATCTTGTCCAGAATCGATACACTTGACGAAGAGGAGGCTTGTGGGGACCTCTATGGAATGTGTTCGTCACCACCGAGCGGCACTGAGACTGGACTGCGGGTTTGGGGAGAGGCGTGGGATCCACTCGCGTACGAGGCATCAGGGAATCTGATAAAAAAGTGGTCCTGGATAGCTAAAGAGTGCCCCGATGTGATGAGGTCTACTAATTATTGGAGGAGGCGGCGGGGAGAGAAGGGGTTTGTCATTGGAGAAGAGTGAATTATTTATCCGCATGTTTCAAATGTAATCATACAATGAGGCTCTGCTTGTGCTTCACACTACAGGGCAAATTTCTCCCCTGTCAAATCCTCACTCATGTTCCAGAGCTTAGTCCAATTATCAGTATCCCTGAGGTGGGTGTGCAATTCGTGGTCGGAGATTGCATTCTGGTTGAGGTAAGACCCAGCATAATCTAAGTTCGAGTCAAGTCAGTATGAAATTCCAGGTAACGTTTGGGGGACTGAACTCACCGGTGATAGTTGGGTCGATCATGGCGGTGATGACGGTGGAAGCTCCTTCGGAGGTCCCGGTCCAGGGAGGAATGTCAAATGTGTTCCCATCTAGATCGACCATTGCTAGTGAGGAATAGATTAGCTTGACGAAACATGACATGATTTATTGACACTTACGCCCGGCTTTTTTCCATTCAGCAACCTGGTCAAGGAATCCAGGGGGGCAGTGTCGCTGCAGGCCGGATTGAACAGCTACATGCTAGTGTTAGAGTGGTGGGATAAAGACGCGAGTGGGATATGACTGACCACCAGGATCCACGCTAAAGACACGAAGTTTTTCGTTCTTCAACTTCTCGCCGAGTCTTTTGACAAACATGACCCGTGCGGCATTAGATTGGCCATATGCGACCATGGGATCGTAAGTCTCGCCATTCTATTTTCAAGGATCAGCGTTGAGGACCAGCCAGTCGAGAAGATTCGGTGTTGTACTCACGCTGAACTGAACATCATCGAAGTGCACCTTTCCTTGTCTCGCCATCGACGAGGCCATTATCACGATGGACGAGGACGGGCCAGCAGCGCGAACCTTCGGCAAAAGCAACTTGACAAGTACAAAGTTGGCCAAATAATTCACCCCCAGCTGACTCTCAAAGCCATCCTTGGTTTTGCTGTACGGTGGAAACATGACTCCAGCAACACAGACCAGGTGGTCGATGTGAGCTACATCAGTGAGTTCCTCGACGGCTCCTCGTACGGCGCTCAAATCGCTCAAATCCATGCGCAAGAAACGGGTCTTGACATTTGGCTTAGCTAAGTGAATCCTTTCTTCGATTCCTACTACCTTTGACTCGGCACGAGCAGTCAGGATGAGGAGAGCCGGATCAGCGCTTGCAAGTTGTACTGCCAGCTCGCCAGCGATGGAATCGTCGGAAACACCGGTGATGAGTACTATGGGTGCGAGCTGGTTAGCTTCAGTTCTCTTAAATGTATTGAGTGGGTAATTACCCGTTTTCCCCGTAAGGGCTTTCCCATACTTCTCAAGGATAACCTCAGAGCGCAGGATCTGTTGGTTGTAGGACATGTTGAAAGATATTGGAGTAGTGAGGTCAAAGTCAAAGATATTTTCTGGGTTGTGATGAGAACTGTTGATCGCTCTCACAATATGCGGAAGGATAGAATCATTTATATGCTTCTTCCCTTCGGTGATATGAACAGTAACGCCGCGAAGGCATACTGGTATAGATCCGAGGAGCCAATCAAAATCCACGGAAGTTGGTGAAAGCCCCACACTATACCCCCATCGGGCTAGTGTCGTGTCATCAGTCGAGCGCATACTTCACTTCGCGCAAGAAGATCGCAAGAGGTTGTGGTCAGATCATTCGGAATAGAGGATGGAGTTAAGGGAATCCTCTCCCGATGAGCTCTTACTTAAGTGTCACCAAGGCTTGTCCTTTACTCCGTCCGCTTATCAACTTATCATCAACCACTTGTGGCACTTGCATTGAATTGGCAAGCGGGATAAAGACCCGGCCATCTTTGATAGTAATCTCTTGAGCCTAGCGGAAAAGATTCCTCACGACATCCATGGATACTTGGAAAAGCAAGCTGAATAAGAGCGGTTAAACATGACGTATATTTGGTTTCTTGAAGATAGAACTTGTTTGGGCTATAGTCCCCAGTTTGAAATATTCCCGAGGTCTCAAGTTGCTTTCCATCTAGAACTTTCATTCTGGTTGCCCATCTTGTTTTATTTTCCAAGATTGTGAATGGCTGCGATGGTTTTGGTAGCCTAAGCCATATAGTTTGCCCGTTCTATCTCTCGGTGAAGGTCTCTTATGCGGCTCGACAGGTCGTCCTGCGAATCCATGCGATCAAAATTACTTTTTTTCTCGTCCCACGGGCTTTGTATCGGGCGCATTTCCAGCTCATGGACCTGATTGCGCAATCGCCAAATCTCGAGGGCCATTAGTCTAATTCCGACGCCCAGTTCAGCGGAGTTACCTGAATTTGTGACAGCATATTAGCGATCCCGAGTGCACTTATGCAAAGATTTAGGTAAGCGATAACCCATTCAGGGCTCATTCCGATGGCGAAGATAGGGTGGGTAGAAATGGAAAATTATGACTGGAGTATCTATTGAGAGAGCAGAGGGATCGAAAGAACCGATTTATTGATCTCTGGAAAGAGAGAAAGAAGAGAGGAGAGAAGGACTATGGAAGTAGGATCTTATCTACAATCGGGGGTTGTGGCAAACATCCCTCACAACACACCCCCTGAGACACAACCCAAAAAGCACCCCCAAATCAACCTCTGATTCTCAAATACCCCGTTTTTGATGTTTTTAGCGTTTAGTGGTTCATTCCCATTGTAAAATTCGGTGAACTCACCCATCCCCCAGGTCTCCGAGGCTCATTCCCCCCCTTCCTCCTGGGTTCTAGGACTCCATTAGTACATGGTGCTCCCAACTATCCCCATTTACCGACCAGCTGATCGGTGAGAGTGCTGAATTGGGACTAACCAAGCGGTTTAGTCAGTACATCCGCGAGATTTTGGCTGCTTTCTATAACATTGAAGCTCACAATGCCTCTTCTCACTGCATCCCTAACGAAGCTGTAGCGTAAATCGATCCACTTAGTAGACCACGCGTAGGCATCCTTTATGAGAATTCCATATACATTATCGCTGTCAATATGCATAATCATAGGAAGTTCTACCGGAAGATCTATTTGCTATAGTAACTTCTAAATTCACATCACTTCTTATACTGCAGTATTGAACGCAACGAATTCTATATTAATAGAAGAAGAGTAAACAATCGACTACTTACCTAATCTCTATAATATTAGGGAACCTACATACATAATAACGTACGCTTCGATCGATTTCCTATCTTCACAGTTAGTATATAATACGTTAATATATACAATAAGCCTTTTTCTAGAATCTTTATCTAACTAAATACCATTTTGAATAGTTCCTACCAAAAAATAGTACAGATACTTTGCTGCATTAATATTTTCCTTATATAGAGCAGCTACTCTTCTCTATAAATAATTAACTACTAGAACAATATCCAAGCGATTTTGACTACATATCTACAACATCTTTCCAATATCCTTTAAATACATCTTTATTAACGATTTATTAACTATTAGTATATTCTTTAGAAGATTTAAACGCATATTCACATCTTTCTTTATATATATTTGGAAGGAAAACTTGTATATTATCTTTATTAGAATAAATACAAATAAGATTTTAGCTTCTAGAATTTAGAAAGCTTCTTCTATATAGGATTTTTAATATAAAAAGAATCCTTTCTTATTATATATAAACGCATTTTCTAGAAAGTAGACTAAAATATCTATATCTTTATAAACGAATAGGATTGAATTCTTAAACTATTAGATCTAAGCTAGATTCTACACAGTAACTAAAGTATTGTCAATATATAGTAGTAACTAAATCCTACATTTATAGTAAAAAAGAATATAGGATTTATTTAGAAATTGCTTAAATCCTAATACTTTAAAAATAATAATAATCGTATCATATTATAAATATAATATCTAATATAATTTGTAAAACACTTATAGTAGCTAATAAACTAACTCCTTATCAAATTTATTTAATTTCTTAAATCTAATCGATTACTATATAAATATAAAACAACTATCGATTACTATATTAAGATAGATAATAATATAGTCAATTTAATTAATAGTTAGCTTTTGTATAACTACTATATATAGAAAAATACATATTAATTCTAATCTCACTACTAAAGAGTAGGTAGAGTTAAAATTAATTTTTAATCGCTATTAGTTATTACAAATTATTTAATAAGCTTTAAATCGAATAATGTAGTTCTTAGAATCCAATTTAACTATATAAATCTATTTACTAAATAAAATATATACTTTAATTCTAGCTTTATTAACGAATTTATAAGTTTTAACTTACTATAGACTAATCATCTACTCATATATCGCTTCTTTCTATATTATAACTTTTATTAAGTTTATTACTTTAATATAATTCTATAGAATTTTAACTTTCCAAATCTTAATCCTATTATCAAACTCTAAAACACTTTCCAAAAGTCTATACTCAAATAAAAAGAGTCTAAATCTACTTCCAAAGAAAACATAATATTCAAAACCTTTATTTATAAACTAAATACTATTCCTAATATATTATAACCCTTCTATCGCACTTTAGCCCTATAGTCTTTTATATAGATTATATTCTTCTTCGTTATAGCAAATAAATTAATAAATACCAACGATTATATATTATAATCGATATAGAAGGATAAAAGGGTTGAATATAGGATTGGAAGTAGGAATTGGATTAAGGGTAGATATTAGTAGATAGTTAATAGAATCCTCTTATTAAAGTTTATCGTCGTCTTGCAATATTCTAATATTTAAATAGATCGTTTTAATTAATCTTAGCTACTATAGAGATTCAATTAATCTAACAACTTACTATCAAACTCCAATACTTATAGAAAATATCAATACATTACAGTAAGTTACCTTCTTAGACTTTTTAGCCTCTTCCTCTGTAGTAAAGTTAATATAATCGTCAATAGAACCCAATAAATACTCCACAAATTGTATATCATAGTGAATACTAACTTTTTTAATTTTTGAATTATAGATCTTATATTAATAACCTCCATCGCCTAGGTATCCAACTAAAAAGCCTATAAATATATATAGAGCTATCTTTTAACCCTAAACTTATCTTTCTTTAAGAATATATATATACACCTTCAAATACTATATATATAGGAACAATAAATCGACCTTAAATACTTATAATCTTAAAGCTGCTTACTATAGAGTAATAAGAGTTTCTTCATTAATCCTCCTTTACTAATTAATAATATATATTATTATTTTGTATACCTTCAGCCACATATAGTTAGATACTCAATAATCCATATTAATTATTATTATTCTAATAATTTAAATAATATAATAACCAAAGAATTCTACTACATCGTTCTATTCATACATATAAAAAGCGAAGAGATTGCATAGGATATACTTACTTTTGATCTATATACTGAATATATTGAATTCGTTTCCACTATTAAATCGAACCTTTATAGACCAATAGCCCATATATTTGTAAAATATCTCACACTACTTTTATAGTTCCTCTAAAACGTTAGATTTCTTGCTAAGAGAGATAACAAATTGTATATAGGAGTAATCGTTTATAATTAATATTAAATACTCACAATCATACTTTATACTTTCAGAGTTCTTACTTTTCAACTTAATTAGATAAAGATTAATATATACAAGCTATTCCACTCTTATTACATATATCTATTTAGCCCTCGATACAATATACTTCGATTTAACCAGACTATATACTTCGTAGTTAAAGAGTCTAAAGTTAGCGATATTAATCTTCAAAAGATCTTTATTAATCCTTATTTTATATTATCCAATATAATCTAAGCGCCAATAAGCTAGTCTACTACTAATACTTACCATTCCTATAGTCTATGTTACTATCCCTTATAGTTATAAATCGTACGCCTCGAATACAGCATATCATATTAGATTTGATTTATTAGCAAGTTCAACAAAAGGAATCTTTTTAGTAATAAATATATATCCAATTAGTATACCATCTATATACTTTAATATCAAATCGTTTTGGTTCTATATAATCCTATAGGATTAATTTAATATTATTATACTAAATAGATTAAACTAATTATTAGATTTGTAAAGGATATTAATATAAAGATTATACCAATTACTATCAGATTTCTGTAAAGTGATATAAACCTAGTCTAAACTCTCTAAATAAGCTATTTAACCACCGCTTGTATCCTATTTAACACTCTTTCCAGGGATAAAGATAGTAAATAGTATCCAATTGGAATAAATAATGAAGGAGATATTTGAATTGAATATCTATTTTTTCCAGATTATAGAGGCCTTATATTATAAATAGATACAGCATTTGTAGCTAAATCATTGAATACCATAGTAAACCTACTAAATTCGTCGAAGCTAAATATCAACAAAGTACTGCTGACTATACCAGTAG